CGGTATGAGTGGACGGAAGGTAATGGAGCTGCTATTCGAAAAAAGAGGGGACCAGGTCCTGATTACACAAAACGTGGTAAAGGCGGCTGCTGGGAATGATCATTCCGGTCGGGAGGTGATGGAGCTGCTGTTCGAGAAAAAAGGAGACCAGATCCCGATTACAGAAAACGTGGTAAAGGCGGCTGCTGGGTCGCGTTTTGGTCGGAAGGTGATGGAGCTGCTTTTTGAGAAATCAACTTTCCTCACAACCCTTGATGCTGTCAAATCCATGGCATTGAACAAGGCAGCAGCAGCCGGCAGTCACGAAGTAGTAGAGCTACTACTTGAGAAGGATGCTGATTTGACTGTCCCGGATCCAGACGGACGGACACCACTTATCAACGCTTCACGCAATGGACGCCTGGAAATTGTACAGCAGCTTTTCGACCGCGGAGCAGACTGGAGAATACCAGATAGCTCTGGACTTGATGCCCTGCAGTGGGCTATTTGGGAGGATCGTTACAACGTGCAGGATTTCTTACTCTCGGTCGGGGCTGTTGAGTCGGATGACGTATATGGAATTCGCGCGTTGTTTGAAGAGGAATTGACTGTTCTGAGTTAATCAAGGGGAATAGGCAGATATGGTACCATGCAATTCATTCATTCATTCAATTGAAATTACCGCCCGCATAACCAAGAATTGGGCAAGTCAGAGAAATTGCCGAGGCCGTGCGTTCCTGCAATGTTAAGAGTCAACGTGCAACATCAGCAGTTCTGTCTTAACCGGCTGGTTCGAGGTCAACCAACGGGCGTCAGGGAGGGCAGCGGCGAGGCCATCAACATCGACACCAAGAAGGGAAGTGACAACAGCAACGCCGCAGGAGACAGTGGCCGAGCTAGTCATGCGCAAAAGCAAGCCAAAGATTAAAAGAATGCAATACGATGGGATAAATATCATTCGGATGCCGGACGACCAGCTGGAGACGAACTTGTGGCTGCAGCGCACACTAAGACACCATCCGTCAGAGTGCTCCTTTGTACGTTATCCACGGTGAAGCACGCATCCATATGTTGCCAACTACCAAGAAACTCTAAGCGAGCGCATGTATTCACCTTCAAATTCGGAAACTAGCATGATCCGATGAAATGACTGCATCGACAGCAGCTGGATACCCAGACGGAAACACGGCAAAGCCAATGGTCTGTCGAATCGTAATTTCTAGCATAAACTGCTCAGTCAGATAGTCATCAAAGCCATGATGCATGCCAAGTTGAGCCCCAATACAAGCAGCCCATGGTAGACTGGCGACCCCAAGAGCTATACCGTCAAACAGCGCACAAGTTTGGGAATAAAGAGACAAAGGCTGGTTATAGGGATGCGGGGAAACTAGAAAATGTTGGGGAATTTGCGGGGATATAAGACGCCAAGACCCAGCCGCAGCGCTGATCAGGACCTCTACACTACCCGGGTGCTATAGTGTGGGGAAGTGCTCACTCCACGGACATTTTCACTCGAGATTCCGTCAATCAACAATGCCGCCAAGGGCTCGCGAATGACATGTTGTTTATCTGATCACTACTCTCCACGTGCGCCAGAGACGACTACAAGGGCCGAGCAACATGGTGCTCAGGGCCAACATGACTGCATAGGGTCGCACCCAGTCTTGATAGGTGGAACCAGCCCTTGAGAGAATTGAAAGTCTTGTATCGAGGGCTAAGCGATATATCCAGGGAGGCAATACCATAATGACTGGTTTACTTGGGCTCAGTCTTGACACGGTCCGCCCTGCCGGATTTTGGAGAATCCAGGGTCCAACAGAAGAAAACAATGGTGACGAATCGACAAGGACGTCCTTGCTGGCAAGGGGTCCAGCATAAAAGCTCGAGCATGTTCCGACCTCGTTTGCCCCTTTTCTCGTTCTGCCCTTGATATCGGAAAGAAGAGTTCTGTTACAACTAGACTTTCTGCATTGGTTCATAATGCGCTCCTTTTCTCTCTTTGTGTCCTTGTCGGCAGCCGCTGGCGCTCTCGCTGCTTTTGGAGAGCTCCCGGCCAATGTTCCACGAAATGTCGACGAATTTCGAGACAAGCATCCCTACAAGCCATCCCCAGGGTGTGGCGGCGGTGACCGTCCCATTGTCACTATCCGCGACTCCAAGAATGATACGGATGATGTCGCCGACGAGTTTTACGCCGGTCTACAAGAGGCCAACAATGGCGGAACCCTCCAGCTCGAAAAGGACAAGCTATACATAATTGGCAAACCCCTCGACCTGACCTTTTTGAATAATGTGCAAGTTCAATGGGACGGTGAGGTCAAGTTTACCAATGACACTCCTTACTGGCAGGCCAATGCCTTTGCACATCCGTTCCAGAACTCGCTCATGTTTTGGAAGTGGGGAGGCAAGGACGTCAAGATCTTTGGTGAGGGCGTGCTCAATGGCAATGGCCAACGATGGTGGAACGAATTTGCGGGTCTCGAGATCTTGGACCCAGACAATGAATACCTCCGACCCATTCTGTTTTACGCCGAGAATGCGACCAACTTTGCCATGGAAGGCATTCACGAAAAAGACTCTCCCTGCTGGACCAATTTCATCGTCACCTCTCAGGGCGTTTCATTCAAAAACGTCATTGTGACTGCCGAGTCCAACAACGCTTCTGCCCTCCCAAAGAATACCGACTTTTTCGACTCTCTAAACGTTGTCGACTTGACTGTAGAACAAGTATGGGTCAACATTGGCGACGATTGCTTCTCGCCCAAGTCCAACGCCACCAATATTCACGTCGACACCATGTACTGCAACGGTAAGCATATCCTCTGTTGACTGTAACTCGCGGCAACGACACTAACAGGTCAATAGGAACTCACGGCCAGTCAATGGGATCTGTTGGTCAGTACGAGGGTGAATACAGCTTTATTCAAGACGTTGTCATTGAAAATGTGTGGCTACTCAACGGTCAACACGGCGCACGCATCAAGACTTGGGCCGGCCCAGACGTTGGCTACGGTTTTGTCAACAACATTACCTTTCGGAATTTCTGGCAGGCAAACAATGAGTACTCGGCCTTTCTTGACTCGTGCTACTTTAACGTGAGTACTCCTGACGTTTAGACTCTGGCACAACTGTCAATCTAACTTGTGAATCAACAGATCAATGCCTCAACCTGCGCTGCCTACCCATCGCAAATGAACATTACCAACGTTCTCTTTGAAAACTTTTCGGGCTACACGTCTGGCAAATACGGCACGGCAGTAGCGTCTCTGACCTGCTCGACGAACCCGAATGCAGTGTGTGACAATATCCAATTCAAAAACTTCAACATCACGTCCCCATGCGGTGACGCTGTCATAATATGTGATGGTATCAAGGGAGGGCTTGGCGACGACTATCCCTGCGTCTCCAAGAACACCACAGAGGCCACCGCCGCACTCGCCGCCACGTGCTCTGTGCCTCTGGCCACGAGCACTGTTACCCCATGGTAGAATGACCGGACCAGAAAAAGATTCATGTCATGTTGGCACCATTTGGAGAGAAAATCTAGAAATGGATATTACTTTTATACTTTCGTTGTATATATTCGACAATTCTTAATGAATAATGATCAAATACATTTCTTCCTTTCCGGGACATGTGGAATCATTCTTCCGAAAAGAAATTCAGGTCGCGAAAGTCGGGTTCCTCTTCAGCCCGTCGACAATACTCAAGGCTTCAAATCAACATAGATCTTGACCATATCCTGTTTGGCCGGATAGAATGGATAACTCGTATTGCCGTTTTCATCCTTGAGAGCATAATCGCTATTCAGCTCGGAAACACGGTGTCCGACGAAAGGGCTAGGTGGCTTGCCCCAGACGTGGGAAACCGCATCGTGGGCTGTTTCTATCTGTATTCCCCGAAAACCCTCGCTAGCAGCCTTGTGCATCATGTAGCGGGCAAGGATCTTCATGAAGCCGTGACTCTCCTCGTCAAGCTTGGTTGCCGTGGCGTTTCGCATCAAGACCTGACCAGGCACTTTCGGCTGCCACGAGTCTGGATCCCTCGGGTCTCTCTCTGCAAGCACGGCGTACATGACGCCAAAGGGCGGCAGGGTTGCAATCAAAGGCTCGATACGGGCATGGTCCAGCTTGTTGAACCCATCATATGCTAGAGCCACAGAGACGAGTGGAAAGTCCATTTGCTCGAGCAACTCATCTTCTTCCACATTTTCGTTTTTCAAATCCCAATACAGCCTTCCACCTGTAGCTGCAGACTCGGGCTTCTTGTAGACATATTCCTTGTCAATTATGCCTAGGGAAAGGCCAGACTCGAGCTGGTGTCTGACCAAGTAATCAATGGCGTGATAAGTCTCGTAGAGGCGATGTGTCTTATTCTCGGGGTATACAATTGCCCAGATTGGCGACCCGAATACATTACTATGCATTATCAAGGCCTTGCACCAGTCTAGATGCTCCATACCGAGAGTCCGGATTTCATAGCGAGGCGGTAATCCAGTGTCAACCGTCATTGTTTCCGAGATGCTTCAAAGTCTACTTTTTGATGTGATTCAGAGATAATTTGAAGTTTGGGAGTGAGCTGACGAGGTTGCTATCATGGCGCTTATATACACAGCAGCCGTCCAAAGGTCGGGAAATTTCACCTCACATGTCAAGATTTACGCCGTCAAAAGAAATCAGCTGTCGGCGTCGCCTTGATTTACGGTACAGTGATTCAAAATCTGACGTGATCAACATGATATCAGAGATTCCGAGCATCTGTATTAGGGGAGTCCTCAATTCCACGTCAGCCCGCCAAAGCATGATATAAGGTTCACTTGGACACGGCACTACTGCTATAGCAGTATCATCAGATCTTGTAGTTCCGCCAGTATCAGCTATGCATTGGCAGAATTAGTAGTATATCACCAGTAATAATTGCGTCTCTCTGTGCTAGTATTGAGTCTGCGGTATAAGCAGTAATTTTTGGCTCCTAACAGCAGCTTCAACCATAATATTATAGTATCAAGAACATTCCCCTAGTCACATGTCAAGATGCCCGTTGGAAACTGCTGGCTGCCAAATGGCAAACTACATGGCAATATTGGTGAACCGAAGAATGAGAGTCAAAGAAGAGGCCAGCGCGCATAACGCTGTTTGACTGACCAGTGATGCGTTGCGTGAGAAAGGGTGGCAAAGTTGGGATGTAGAAATTGGCCCATGAAAAAGTGAGTGAGGTTGGGGAGGGTACAAATTGAAGACGTATGCAAATTAGCATGATGGTAGCGAAAGAACACACTCGATTTGATTGTCTTGTCATTAGATCATGGTGCATCAAAGAGCGTTATTGGGTGTAGAGGATTGCGAATATTGTCACCCCGAGTATCGTGAGCATTCGACATTGCAAATTCTGCGTATGGAGCCGTCTATAAAGGTAATAAGCTGACGAGAGCATAATCGCAAGTCAGTCTCAACATCCACCACTGCTGCCAACAGACCCGGTCCATGCATCATTGGTCTCTGCCCGAATAGCTTCAACGTCATTCTCATCGCACTCTGGCACCAAAAGTGTCCTATTTACCGTCTCAAATATCCATGGCTGATCACAGTCTTCCTGCCGCGCGTACCCGTAATTGATATACTCTCCTGCCGTCAGGGCGATTGGTGCATACCACAGCGGCCGTTCAGAGGTATAATTAGAAGAGAGAAGAGGTTGCGCATTATCAACATCCCAGGCACCCAGATCAGAAGTATTGCCCACCAGGTACACGTTTTCTCCAAAATAGGTCGAGGCATTTACTGCAAACTGCACATAGGATGTACAGGATGTAGAGACATTTGGCGCACCAGCCGCAAACGCAGGGACATAGACGCCCTTGATCGAGGAAGCCGAGCACTCGGAGGGCAAATCTGCCAATGTGGATTGCTCCCAGCTTGGAGGATACTGTCCCGCGCGGCGTTCTGCCATGGTGACAAAGGCGGCATACGACCAAGTCAAATCATAGGCCGAAAGAGGATTTCCGGGTGCCGTCTTGTTGAATTGCTCGGATAGAGAACCATTTACTGGTGTATATTGTTCTACAACAGAGACAAAGCTGTCCGCATAGGCTCGAACTGCCTCGATGATTTGGGAGAACCCCGAGCATGTGCTGTTGGCCGAATAAGTCTTGAGCTTTGCATCTGGAAAGATGTCTGCAAAGAAAGCCAAAGAAATGTCGTCGATAGTGATGGCGCCCTGCTTGGTCCACTGTGCAATGGCGTCGTATAGATATTCGGCAGCTCCAGATGTTATGAGATACCTAGAACGACTATTAGTGATGAGTTCTTGCTCTTCTAAATCTGACTTGCCATGGGTTTCCACCATAGTATATATCTTCAGTGTAACGTCCGAGTGCGATCCCGGAATCAGTTGCAATTCCCTGATTGATGGGATACAGGGATTCATTGCGAAAGCCGTCCACAAAGGCTTTAAAGTTGGACAAACCCCGGCTGCTACACGGCTGAACAGTTCCACTGTCGCAGCTCGCATTAACATCAAAGATTGCAATGGATCCTAGAATGGTGTTGGCATCTAGGCCATTTCTCACCGTGTTGGTATTGATGTTGCCAATGAAGAAATCGCCATTCCAGAAACTCTGGAGAAAGCAGAGCACCTCGGGGGCCTGGTCGCATCCGGTACAATTTACACCGAGGGTGCTCGCAAGAGTAGCGCCCTCCACCAAGGCTCGATATTGGTTTTGAATAGTGAAGAAACTGGACCCAGACACCTCTTCCCACAAATCAAAGCCAGTAGAGTTCCTGAATACGTGAACATGGATTCGATGCAACTCTCAAGTGAGACATACCAGTATTGCCCGACATAGGACAAGTCGTTGGAAATAATGGGCCATACGACCGACTTGGCTCGTCCGGCTTGGCCAGCTGCCACCAGCCAGTTGCTGTACGTGATCAATGCAATCGCACGCAAGGCTGGACCGTCTCGCTGAGGTCTCCCCCAATTTCCATTGTAGCGGGTGCCGTCAACATTATACTTTGGTTCTCCGAGGCCCTTGCCAGAGGGCAAAAGTGTGCCAGACGGGTTCGTCACTGTTTGGAGGACGGCTTGTGCATGCAGGTAATCCTCAATATGTGTCTGGAGGTATGTTGCGCCAAGAAGGAACTCATCAACGACCATTTTGAGAGTCAATGCCGAGTCTCTTGTCCACGTGTAAAAGTCTGTGTGACAGTCAGTATCCATGACCGAAAGAGCAAAGCATCAACCTACAGTCCGGGTTGGCCTTGGAAGGACTAGCGACCACATATCCGGCAGCGGCGCCGACAGCAAGAGAGCCATTAGCTCCAATGTTATTCAGGACACCTTGGAGGGCAATTGATCTCTCTACAGTCACAAAGGCGTCAAGATCGACGGAGCTCGCTCGCTCTGTTGGGACAACCGAGGCCAGTGCGCTCAGAGAAACAACAGCCGCAAATGTGAAAGTGAGCAACATCATCTCGTGGTACAGACGCAAGCTATCTTGGCAATAACTCGGCAGAAGTCTTGCGCTTCTCTTTGCTGCGCAGTTGGCCTCTCTTATACCCAATCCCGCTGCCTTGTGAGCTGGGACCTTGAACAACTAGTCTCGGTCGTTCTCTGACGAGTATTTGCATGATGAATGGAAGCGAGTGCCGTGGCGTCGGAGATCCACTGCTAATAATGTCACCACGACATGCCATTCTATGCGCTTCTCATTATAATGATCCATGAACTCCGCCAAAGAAAGCGGGCCGATTTGGGGAACCATGGGGAACAGGCCAAAGGACGGCCGCGTCGGCGCGGGGTAACATGGATTCGTCGAGAGCCAAGACTTGCAATTGTCCTTCTTATATCACTTTCTGTATTCACCTGTTCAATGAATGTTAATTGCAAACAATGTCTCAGTATTATATTCTATTGGAATTTGCGAATCAAATCTTTTAAAAAATTTATTTCAAATTTTGGCGCGTGGCATTTCAAAACATGTGCTTGGTCTTGGTCATGTTTTCCATCACGGGTTCCTGGCTTCAAAAGGCAATCCCCAAGATTTGGTCGCCCATCCTTGCTAAAGGGGCGTTCGGGGCCTTTGTAGAATTTGGTGCGTTTAGGCCGGTCCATCGCGAATGCCTCCAATCGGTAACAGTACCGGGTGCCAGGTTTATGCAAATGCACCGACGTCACGCCGGTACAAGATTGGCTCGTTATATTCATGGGTCGTGTTTGCGCATAGGTAAAGCATTCCCCAAATAAGGATATTGGCAATGGGCCAAATGAATTTAAATTATCTTGTCATTATATTATACTAGGCTTTCGTGCATCTTGAAACTATGGCTCCCATATGAGCATAATCATGGAATCCTCATCGCTGGAACTGTCTTGGGAGTGCACAGTATCGTCTGGCATCCAGTCATTCTCGTCGCCGTAGCTCATGGGACTTCCCCTACGCTTGACGTATGCTTGCCAGACCTCGCCATCCTCGCCCATGCGCGCATCCAGCAACCTCCAGGTGCGCTTGACGCCCGTCCAGCTTACAACTTTGCGCTGTTTCACACCTCCACCCTCGACAGGCTCGATGACTATACGGGCAGCCGTTTTTACCTCTCGCTCCTTGTCCCGGCCCTGCTGCGTCACCAATCGTGAGGTTCGCGGCATCGGTACAACCTCTACTCCGTCTGGATAGTGCGAGATTGTATGTCCGTTGACCAGAATCCACGAGTCACGAAAGAAGAAACGTTGTAAAAAGCAGTCCTCGCCGCACAGGCCCGCCACCATGTGCGCTTTCCACGCCTCGAATCGATGCCGATGTTTGTAATGATGCAGAGCCAGGGGCTGTACGCCACCTTCGAAACCGGTTCTCAGGCCATGATAGTCATCCTCGGGCACATAAAATGACGGCAGAACGTGCATGTCCTCATCCGTGTGCTGAGAAATACATTTATAGATGTGCTCGTCCCAGTACGCATCCCCGCGCGGTTTCAACTCTCCCTCGAGACTAGAGTCGCTTTCTTGCAGACACGGTAGCTGGCCCAGATCGTTTGCCATGCGGTTGTTGAAGAAAACGGCACCTCCGCCATACGTCAGAGTAATGTTGTTTTCGACGGTCCAGTCGGCACGCTCGCTCGGCATGCCTAGGTAGACTTTTTCGCTCGAGCTGAATTTGGCCAATCTGCCGAGAAGCTTACCAAGAGACGGGAAAAAGACGTCATCGTCCACGAGCGCCAGGAAGCTCTTTGTCTCCCCCTCCCTGGAAAGCTCATCTTTGCGGCGCGAAATCATGTGCATGAGCTCGATATAGCGCGAGGTCACATCGGAATTCTCATTCGCGGCTAGGACCACGGCGTCGATACCCAGCTCCCTCAGTTTGGCACTCAGGTAGCTGACTTCAGCATTGGTCGCACGATGAAGCGTGAGAACAAGGCTTGCCCCATTGGTGCGACCCTTGCCATCCGTGAGCCACCTCGCCCAGTCGCGTAAGAGTGCGTCGTCGGCATATGTGAGGCGGCCATACGAAGATGAGATACCAAAGATGAGGGACGATACGTCCAAGTTGTCGGGTGTAGGAGATCGCTGCATGGCGAGGTGTATCGCTTTCTCGGCATGCAAATGTAGCCTTTCCTCCTCTGGTCGAACGCGTTGGAAATCTCGTGCCATGAACTTTAGACCCGTGTCTGTCATGCTGTTTCTCACATTTGATTTATATGAAGTGCGTAGCCTTCTCGCATACCACGCCATGTCTTCCGACAGCCCATACTGGCTAACAAGATCCTTTAGGTACGACGCCTCGTCCGTCACCAAGACTTCATTCAAGGTCTCATTGAGCCACGTTCCCGCCGTCTTGCCATCGGTATAGTCGTAGATGCTCGGAGGCCGCGGTGGCGGCCGGTGGTAGCGGACAGCAGACAACAAAACACAAATTATTATAAATGTAACAAAAAAGTGAAGCCACCTAACCCTTCCAGAGACGTATACAGGACGAAACATGTTGGGTGCCTGGTTGCGCAGAAGAACCAAAAACGAGTGTCAAATGGCGCACTATAAATCGTATGAATGTTGTGAATATAGTCGTGATATTATCGCGAGAATCAAAATTGGTTCAAATAGAAGATGGAAGCGAGCGACGGCGTGTTTAGTCCAAGATAAATTCGGTCCGGCAACGACGGAGGAATGAAATCTGAAGAACCAGCGACCGTTGAGATCAGGCTTGCCAGATTGAGGAAAGAAGCGGCAGGTTGGAGCATGTGGTCTCAGTTTTCCAGTCGCCCTGCGTGTCCGATAGAGTTCTCGACGGCAGACGCGCGACTAAAGCAAGTCGGATTGAATTATCGGGGACCTCATGACGAATGACTGAAAGTATGAAGAGCCATTAGAGTCTGTTGAGTTGCTTGCAAACACATGAATTGAATTGCAGGAGGGGAAGAAAAGAGACAAAATTGGCCAAGAAGAATTCTTTCACCGTGGAAACAATTTGGAGTATGGGTAGGTAGTTGGTAATGACGCCTTGGACCTCCGTATCACACCTACCCATTTCAGCAAGATAACAAACCTTGCAATCGGCCGGCAACCAAGTCCGGGGTAGAGAATACAAATTGGGTTTGGCTGGGAAGGGAAGCGAGGGGAGGGGAGGGGGATTTGGGGCATGAGAGATGGGGGATGAATTGATCAATCAAGTTTCATACCATGTACTAGTCTGGTTCATTTTTTGAGAACCATGTAATATGAATGCATACCCAAGCAGATACGTAGAGGCTTTTCGCGGAGCAGCATGGTTTTAACCGGCCCCAATTCGGACTTGATTGGTTCTTGCTGCGATCTATCTCGGAAACCTTGATATCATCCCTGATAAGTTTTCTCTATCCCTCCCCGCTCGCCCACCATTAAGATCAGATCTAGGTACTTTGTGTGTAGGAAGATATTTCCACGTGTAAAAACAAGACAAAAGCCCGTCAGACTAATTGGGAGCAACTATTAGAGGTAAGGATACAACTGCTCCCAGGAGCTCCACAGCAGATAAATGCCATTGATTATAACCGGTGGATGATGCCAATCCATCCCGCTCATCTACTAATAAATCCGAATAGCGCAATATTGGATCCCAAAACTGAAGCAAAAGGCCGTACAAAATTTCATGACGGCTTGTCATGGATGAAAGACCCTTTCAAATCCTTCATGTTTTCGGCAGGCTCGGACCGCAAATAGTAGGTACACACGTGATGACTAATGACTCAGTGCTTCACATCAGTCGCTGCAGGCTTGGATGCAATGGGAACGCCCTTGGATGATGCAGTCGGTGCAGCCGGCACGTAGGAAGCCGGTATATTGTCCTGCACAGACTGCCGGGCGCTTGCAAACTTATCAAAGCAATGTGCCATGACCTCCACTATGGAGTCTTCGACAGGCACAAGCCGCGTGTCAACAATCTCCTTGAGATAGTCCTCGATTTTGGCGAATTCGTTTCGATTCGAACGGTATCGGTCCGGCAGCCCAGAATTGTGCATAAGGGCAAGGATTCCAGAGACAAGTGTGTTGACGCCTGCAATAGTAGTAATGACAACACTATCGTTTGACGATGAAGAGCCGACGGCCGTAAGGACTGCATTGAGGGCGAGTTGGAGTATCATCAATATCCAGCTATATGTGCAACATGTCAGTCTGATCGTAATTTATCTTGAGGTTGCGAGACTTGGACTTACACAATGGTCGAGATAATGTGGAACGAGTAAGTGAATTTGGCCTTTTCCCAAAGAACATCTTGATAAAGGCCATCTGGAAATCCTCTCGGTGGCCAGTACCTGCCAGTGATACTTGTCAGCAACAATCCTCACAGACATGGCCTGTACATCTAGAATGATGCATTTCGAGGCATGAACCAGTTTAGATACTCACCAAGCAGTCGGACGGATGACTGTCGTACTCTCATTGTCCTTCATCACCCCAACCCCGTGGCAGAACTGTACCCACTCCTGTTGGGTCATGGTGCGATATTGTTTTTCGGGTTTCTGAGCCACAGGCGAAGAAGTCGGAGAGGGCGTAACAGCCGCGGCCATGTGTAGGTGTCGAGGAAGCTGGGGGGCTTCGTTGCTAGACCTGTCTAGTTCCAAGCCTGGCAGTTTTGGAGCCTTTTCAGGCTTGGGAAAGATTGTGGTCGTCATGGTCTGCAAGGTCAGACCACAAGGTCGGCAAACTGTGAAGCTTTGCCTCCAAAACTGGCCAATTTGAGAAGCCAAAGAACCAAATGGGCAGAGAGGAGCACAACAAGCAAGAAATATCCGGTATTCGCCGCCAAGTCCAAGAATGGCAAAATAGAGTCGAGACAAGATGGTGTTTCTGGGCGCAGAGCTGGAACCTGAAAAAAGGTGGTCGCAGAAATTACACGAGCACATCGCGGGATGCGCCTACCGCAAGAGCTCAACGAAGTATTAAAGTCTCCTGCTCCTTGAATTACCTGACTTGGGATATCATCCATGGGAGGAAGGCATTAGTCACCCATTACCACTGCTAGAAACTAGAAAATATTTCCCAGGAGACGAGAAGGATTCATTGCGCCTTACACTCACAAACCACATGCCAGGCTGCGAGCAGCACTGTCGTGCATCATGGCCAATGTCGAATACAGCTTCCACCAACGCCTCATAACTCGAAATATTGACAATTTCCCCTCCAAGTCCTGAGATCAAGGAGGTTTTTATTGGGCATGTTATTTTCCATGTGTGAGTTTGCAAGTGTTTATTTCAAGCAGTTTCTCCGTATGAGCATGGGCAGTAGTCATGTGTTCATGGTTCAATATTTGTGTCTTTAATCTGATATTGTAAGATACCCTCTGTAGCACTTTGATTTGGCTGAATCTCCAAATGCCCAATAGTACCTTGTAAGGTACAGACCAGGTAGGTAGGTGTATACCTAGCAGCTACCGGTTCGGTGGACCCACTAAATCAGTGCAGAGATGCCGGAACTGTAGCGATTGGACGGCGCTATAAACCCAACTTTAGAGCACTTATGGGGCCTTTGACCGCCCGGCAGAACCAGTTATTTTTTCGAAATCGCAAAGAGAGCTTTAGCATTGCCTCGCGATCACCTCGGACTGTGCGATCACACAAGACTAGCTCTTGATCTACAACACGTCTTGAATGCTTTTCAACAGCTCTGCGACGCTGCGCTATGCCATCTCCCGACAGGTGATTCGATCCTTTGGCACGACCCAGCTACCACGCGCCGCCCGTACCATGGCGCCCCAATCCAAGAACAAAAAGGCCCAGGCGCAGAACTCTGTGAACTCGCAGAGAATCACGGTGAATGGCGAAGAATTTCTCGAAGTCAAGGAAGGTCTAGGCCGAATCTTGAACCCAGTTGCCAAGTCAGACGGCTCGAAAGATGCCCCGACCGAGGAGGAGCAACAAAAGGTCTTTTACAATCCCATTCAGCAATTCAACCGCGACCTCACTGTCCTTGCGATCAAGGCTTATGGCGAGGAAGTAGTCGCAAAACGACGCGCTGCTACCGAGAGAAAGATTAACAACAAGAAGCGAAAGAGGGACGAAGCCGAGGACGGAAATACACAAACACAAGATGCTGCTGTCTCGACTGCTCAGATAGACGCAACAACAGCACCAGCCCCCGAGAAACAAGAACAGTCTGGCGACCCCATGGACATTTCTGAAGAGTCAAAAGATGCACAGGTAGGAGAGACCAAGACAAATGGAACCGAGGGAGTCCCCAAACAGAGAAATCTGCAACCGCCTAAATTCACCATTCTCGATGCCCTCTCGGCAACTGGCCTGCGAGCATTGCGATATGCGCAAGAGCTGCCTTTTGTCACATCAGTGACTGCCAACGATCTCACACCGTCTGCCGTCGAGGCCATCAAGCGCAACGTTGCGCACAATGGAGTCGAGTCAAAGGTCGAGGTCACCCAAGGTGACGCACGCGCCCACATGTTCTCGCTGATTGCCGCCGAAGTTACTCGAGAGCACGAGACCAACCCTCGAGGTTTCAAAAAAGGCCCAAATTCGCCCTCGGGAAAATACGATGTCATTGACCTCGACCCGTACGGAACGGCTGCAACCTTTTTTGACGCTGCAGTCCACGCCGTACGTGACGATGGCGGTCTGCTTTGCATAACCTGCACCGACTCTGGAGTCTTTGCTTCAAACGGCTATCCCGAAAAGGCATTTGCATTGTACGGAGGAGTGACTGTAAAGGGCTTCTACTCACATGAAGTTGGCTTGCGCCTTGTTTTACATGCCCTAGCAACTACTGCTGCACGCCATGGTCTTGCTATTGAACCTCTACTCAGCTTGTCCATTGATTACTACCTTAGAGTGTTTGTCCGCATCAGAAAGTCTCCCGCATCTGTCAAATTCCTAGCAGGCAAGACCATGTCCGTATACAGCTGTGACCAAGGCTGTGGGGCTTGGGAGACTCAACTCCTTCTTCGCAACAAAAAGGTTGCCAATAACAAGGGCAGTGGCGTATTCTATAAGCATGGGTTTGCTCAAGCGCCCACCACTGACTCTACCTGCAAGCATTGTGGCAGCAAAACACATTTGGGCGGTCCCATGTATGCTGGGCCCCTTCACTCGGCCGACTTTGTCCAGCGGATTCTGTCTAGTCTCCCGGATGCGTCCAAGGATGTATACGGTACAACGACTAGAATCGAGGGTATGTTGCATACAGCCCTGGAGGAACTATCCCTTCCCGCCCCCGAGGACCCTCTCGAAGCATGCAAAGACGACGAACTTGCTGCCCTTGAACCATATCCCTTCTTCTTTCATCCCTCGTACCTAGCAGGTGCAGTGCACTGTTCATGCCCAGACGAAGAGAGCTTCCGCGGAGCCCTTCGCGGGCTTGGCTACGAAAGCACGCGTAGTCACTGCAAGCCAGGAAGTATCAAGACGAATGCTCCTTGGTCAGTCATCTGGCATATTATGAGAGAATGGGTGCGGCAGAAAGCCCCAGTCCGAACAGACAAGATCAAGGAAGGCAGTGCGGCATATAAGCTGCTGAGACTTGATCAAGCAAGTAGCGAGGGCAAGGATGAACAACAGACTGAAAAGAGTGAAATTGACAAGCTCGAGGTTGTGTTTGATCAATCTCTGGGTAAAGACAAGTCCAGGAGGGGCCTCATTAGATACCAGATGAACCCCAAAGAGAACTGGGGACCAATGGGTAGGGCCAGTGGACATTAGCGAAGAGATGGTCAAAGATACCCAGTTCTGTAGGAAGAAGCAGAAAAGAAGAAAATTGAAAAGCCATTGGCTGCCCCATCAAAGTTGCAATGATTGTAATCAGTTCCAGCCATGTACCTAGTGTCTTACTTGCAGTTTGTCCGCGTCCCAACTTCATGTGACCAAAGTGGGTCTCGGGTGCAAAGGGAAGCACGCCTTCAGGCTCCCATATGAATAAACTACACTCGGTGTACTACATGACACACTTGCGCGGGATTCGTAAGCAACATTGAAACTGGCCCTTTATCGTACCGCAGCAAACCGGCGGCTCTCATATACTCGAAGAATCTTCTCCGAATCAAGTCTCATTCTCAGGGTATCTAGGGCTATACTGCTCATTGCAAATGGCGACCGACGGCCACTCTACAGCCGCTGGTCAGGCGACCCCAGACCAAAGCCATCACTTGCCAACACACCAAATCGTCTACATCAACAAAGACTCGGCATCCGGGGGACGATATAATATTTTCAGTATCACTGAGGACCTTAATAACGAGGAAAAGCCATTTAATCTCACCAAAAGCCAAGTTGAACATGTTCCACAACCTCTACTTGCCGAGTTCCTTCAAGATGGTCCACCAGATTACCTGCGCGATGCAGCGGACAAAAAGGTCCATGTTGTAGTGTCTACCGGTTCAGGGACTGGCCTCGCGTCAAAGTTTTACAATTTCGTGCTGCGACCTCTACTGCAAGAATTAGGTCTGTCAGAAAGACAATCGGCCGGCTCGGAGAATGGCAGCCCCTACGCCCTGCTCATTACGCAAGACGCACAGAGCATCCAGAGGTTTGCACGAGATCTAAACATATCTAGCAAGGTCAGCGACGGGTCTTTGAGATTGCAACACACCGTTATCCTGTTGAGTGGCGATGGCGGTGCTATCGAGCTGCTGAACGGCAAGGCTCCGGGTGACGATGACGGTGAACGAATCGAGTCACCGTCACATGCCTCGCTGCCTCTGGTCGCCATGCTGCCGCTCGGGACCGGCAACGGGCTATTTCACTCGGTGCACAAGCCGCTGTACGCTGAGACCGGCGACAAAGGACCCTCGTCTCTCGTTCTTGGCCTCCGCACCCTGCTGCGCGGCCAAGCACGGCCGCTGCCGTCGTTCAAGGTCGACTTTTCGGCCGGCTCGCGAACTATCGTGTACAAGGCATCAGGGGCCATCGCCGGTACGGATGGAGGGGCTGCCTCTGAAGAAGTTGAGATCAAGGAGGAGTCCGACACGGTCTCGCACCTTTACGGCGCCATTGTTGCGTCGTACGGCTTCCACTCTCAGCTGGTCTGGGAAAGTGACACGCCCGAGTATCGCAAGCACGGGAGCAAGCGCTTCCAGATGGTGGCAGCTGAGCTGCTCAAGGAAAACCATGCGTATAGCGCCTCGGTCGAGTTGACAGTGGCGGACGGCACTACGCGGACAAAGATTGACCGGCAAAAGCACGCTTACATCTTGTCGACGCCGCTGTCGGACCTCGAAAAGACCTTTACCATATCGCCTGCGAGCAAACCCCTCGATGGCGTGCTGAGACTGGTGCATTTTGGCCCTACATCACCGGAAAAGACCATGGAGATTATGATGGCGGCCTACAACAATGGCAGTCATGTGGGCATGACGTGGGAAGCAGATGATGGCAAGACCGAGCAGATCGGCTACGATGCCATCCACCAAGTCAGGGTCACAACCCAGGAAGAGAACCCGCGTTGGAGAAAGGTGTGCATCGACGGCACCATTGTCGAGATTCCTCAGGGCGGTACAATGACTGTGACCAAGGAGGAGAGGCCTCATTTGCGACTATTGGTTCATCCATCTATTGTGGGGTGAAAATCACGCGCAATGAACTGCCTTTTCTTCTATTCCATATTTCCATTTTGGTGATTGATTAATTTACTTGGAAAGAATAGACATGAATTTGCCTCAGCAAAATGAAGCCTCCTGCTTATGTCTGGTGTGGATTGCTGTCTGTCGATTGCTGTATGGTCCAATTCTTTGACAGAATCAGACCTGCCCAGGTCCGCCTGTCCCTAGCAACGGGCTTGTGTTTCCAAGTTGCCTATACTCTTTTCCCTTTTTTTTTTCTTATTTTTTCTTTTTTTAGGGAGGGGAATTCGTTCATGATTCTTTAATTCAGTCCTTCCCGTCGCACATTTAATATGCAGGACTATCTTCGGTGTGAGTCAAATCGTGGAGGGGGGGAAGCTACAAACGCCCTAAAAATGAATCATATTGAATCAACTCCAAGACCCGCCACCAATCAGTACTGGGGGCAATCTTGGCGGAACATGAAAAGAAGGAGCGCGGCAACTGAACAAAAGAAAGGTAACCACCAACAAAATTTGATCCTTGTGAATAATCTCACAAATGTGAAAAGGAGAGATTTGTCAAGATATTTCTTATTTGTCCAGTACTGCTCATAGTAGGAGCAGTCGGCACAGGATCAAGACGTCCTCGCATCGTCATCTTTGCCCAGCTACACAAACTCGCACCTCAGCTCGGATAAAGGACAATTGTTGCAATGACGTCCATGGCAGCCGAGTCGGTCGCCACGATTGTGTGCACCTCGAAACAAACGCGATTCGACATAATCGCGCCCAACTATCGCGAGGTAATTATATTTGCTGCTCTCTGACCGCCCGGTGTGATGGAATTGTCTGCGTACTCACCGCAACTTCTTTACCAGCTCGATGTTGAAGGTCTCAACATAACCGTCAGCGCGGGATCTCGGGCGGCGGACGCCAAGGGCAAGGGCAAGTCGAAAAACCAGGGTATCGAGATTCTCAGCAACGCCAAACTGAGGCTCAAGGCTGGTCAGAGATATGCTCTGGTCGGTCGAAACGGGACGGGCAAGTCGAGTGAGTACAAAACTTGGACAAACAGGAAGCCAGTGGTTTGCATGTTTTTCGAATACTTACAATCGTGATTCAGCACTGCTCAAGGCCATAGCAGAGAAACTTATCCCTGGTATCCCTGAGGAGACCAGAGTCGCCATATTGCAGCAAACAGACGCAAGCAGCAACAATTCAACCGAGTCTCACGAGAGTGAAAGTATCAGCAATTCAGACGGCCCAGACGTTCTAGAAGAGGTCATTGAGCGTGCGACTGCACGTCAAGCGCTCCAAAAGGAAATAGATGGTTTGTGCCCAGTTTGGCAATCTCCTTGTCTTGCTTCACGTAGTCGTTACTTTCCCCCAAATGCTCTATATTGCTCAGCTTTAACCAAGTAATCGCGTATATACAGTCTTGTCTAGGGGTATAGACAGTACGAATGCCCATGGCGCCTTGCGCGGCCTCCGCAAAGTCCGTCATGAGAGGCTTCAAAAGGAGCTGTTCCTGAAGGACAAGGATGCCAGGCTCCGAAGTGGCGCTCGCGGAATGCAGGCACGAAAGGCTCTAATCGCCATGGAAAAGGAGGTGGAGGCTTTTGAGACAGTGTGAGTGGTTGATATAGTGTCGTGTTGTATTTGATTGTAGAAACGCTAACGCGAGTATATCTACAGGTACCAGGAGAAAGATCAAGACATTACTCCAGAAGCTCTCGCCAGAGAGACCAGCGAGGCAGCAGATCTCTTGGCCGAACTTGAGCTCCAGCTTGAGCCGGCCAAGGTTGCCGAGGTAGAGTCTCGAGCAAAAAAGATTCTCACGGGTCTTGGATTCACCGAGGCATACATGCAAAAGCCAGTATCAAGTCTCTCGGGTGGATGGAAAATGCGCACAGCTCTAGCTGCTGCACTCTTACAGGACACGGATATTTTGATCCTTGACGAGCCGACCAACTTCCTTGATCTATTTGGTATCATGTGGCTTCAGCAGTACCTGACATCATTGGCTGATGGTAATGATCCGCCAACCCTCATCCTCGTGTCGCACGATCGCGACTTTACCTCACTCTGCACCGACCTGCTCATTGTCAAGGACAAGGGCTTGAACTACTTCCACGGAGATTTGCCCATGTACGAGTCCAGTCGAGCAGAGAAGAAGCTCTACCTAACCAAGATGAAGGAGGCAAAGGATAAGCAAAAGGAGCACATTCAGCAGACCATTCAAAAGAACATGAAGGAGGGCAAGGCCAAAGACGACCAAAACAAGATTCGACAGGCCAAGTCCCGGCAAAAGAAGCTCGATGACCGATTCGGCATGGAGGTGAATGCCAAGGGCGGTCGTTTCAAGCTGAACCGGGATCGGGAGGGCTACCATTTATCAAGCCGCTCAGATGTCGAGATACCGCAAGACGAGAAAACCGTTCAGATCTTGCTTCCATCGCCTCCCGACTTGCGCTTCCCTGGTCCTCTGCTATCACTAGAAAATGTCTCATTCCGTTATCTGACCACCAAGGGTAGCAGAACTCTCGCCCCCATTGTCTTGAAGGGCATCACTCTCTCTGTCAGCATGGGAGATCGAATCGGGATACTGGGGCTCAATGGAGGAGGCAAGTCCACACTGATTAAACTCCTCGTGGACGAGATGAAACCCACAGCTGGGACTATTTCCATGCATCCTCGATTGAAGCTGGGTTATTACTCTCAGCATGCCGTCGAAACGCTACAGAAGATGGGTAGACAGGATCAAACATTGACGTCCTTGGCTCTCTTGACAAAGGAGGTATCTGGTGAGCTCGATGAAGGCGAGGTCCGCGGCTTCTTGGGCGCGCTGGGCTTGCCTGGACGAGTTGCATCAGATACGCCCATTTGCAAACTTTCGGGTGGGCAGCTCGTCCGGCTGGAACTGGCACGGCTGCTGTGGAAGTGTCCACATTGCCTCGTGCTCGACGAGGCAACAACACATCTAGACTACGAGACCGTCACAGCGCTGAGGGAAGCGCTGAGGGACTGGGAGGGCGCAGTGGTTGTCGTCAGTCACGACCGATGGTTTATGCGCGGAGTAGTCGAGGGGTTGGTCGACGACGAAGATAGTGACGTCGCGGACAATGACGATGATGCAGCGCCGAGGCGGCGGGTCGTATATCGGCTCAAGACCGGCGAACTGTGTAAGCTCGAGGGCGGAGTACAGGAGTTTGAGAATATCATGGAGAAGCGGGTACGCAAAATGGTGGGCTCTGCGTGAGAGGCATCCTTCTACTCTGGTGGATTTCATAGTTTCTTCACATGCGAACTCTGTCGAGATAGCTCTGCTCGCCCATTGCAGCATGTGAAATCTCGTCTGCATGCCTGTGCAATTGTAGCGCCTTTTCCGACCAGGTCATCGCTGCGGCTGAATCCTCCATGCGATGAGCCAACTCAGCTGCTAGGTGGTAGGCGTTTGGGAGATAGTCCATCATGTGTTCCTTTTCCAGCAATTGCACAAGTTCGAGAGCCTTGGGCAACAGCCTCTTGTTTGCCGCGCCCGACGTGCTCTGGGCCAATCGTTCCTCTAGCTCGGCCAGGAGCCGACCCATTCTGACGCGCGACCGATCTGTCCCCTCGGGGTCATTGTCACGACAGGCCTCACAGTCGCACGTAAACCCGTACGGCGCCAGCCGCGCCTGACGATCACTGCGAGCCTTGAGCAGCGGCGCGTACGTGACCGTGACCTCTTCTCCGGCGGCAATATCACGCGCTGCCCAGATAATACGCCGGTCCGACGCCGCGCTCCACACATTGGCCGCGTTTGGCCGGCACGCGTGGTTGATGCGGGCGATTTGGGGAAACATGGCCACGGAGCCATTGGTCAAGGTGTACGCGTTGCTCCGGAATATGACCATGTTTCGATTTCTGCGCATGTCTGCACCGCTTCCGGGTTCCTCGGTGGCGGCTGCTTCACCGGGTAGATAGTGGGCGTGGCATGAGTGGAAGACGTTGCGGTCCGCTGGACTCAGCGAGGCCACGGCCGCATCAACCGAGGCCGCCATGGCAGAGAGCTCGTAACCTTTGCCGGGCACAAACTGAGGAGGCGTAATGGCGAATAGAGGTGCCTCGACCATGATTCGCTGTCCAGTACGGATAGGACTCTTGGCAAAGACCCCGAGGCCTTTTCCGGGAGATGGTCTGATTTCCCATGATGTTGATGAGAGCGGCGATGATGGTATGTCTATAGGTAGCTCATCTATATTTCTCATGAGTTTATATATATCAAAGAGGCTGATGAAAGGAATGACAATTAGATCAATACCTTGTGCAACGGAAAATACTCTTTCCAAATCGTGGGCATTGTGTTGGACAAGAATACCTGACGACTCATTTGTCGAAAATAAATCCTATAATCGCAGTGACATGAGTATACTAGGGACTAGTCTCTAACGCAGTATCAGAAACTCACAATTTTGCATGTGTCCGGATGAAAGAACGGCGTGGCATGAATATTTGAGCTACCAGGCAATTGCTTGGCCGGATTTGACAAATGCAAAGAGGAGCAGAAGCAGCATGCGAATGCAAACAGGAGTATTACGAAGCCTATATTGGTTTTCATTATGCGTCAAGCTTTGAAATGGTAATAAAGTGGCCTGGATGCGAATTTGTCTTGTGAAAAGATAAAAGACCATCTTGAAAAGACTGCAAACACATGTCCTCTCCCTCGTGGAATTGATATTTTCTCCGTCCTTGACCCGCGATCCTCTTGCGAAAACATGAAACTCGTTCAGGGGCTGACTGTTTGGTGTTTTCGCAAGAAACGAGCGAAAGCTCCGTGCTACGAATTGTTACGGGCCCATGTCCATGCATTTGCCATGCAGGGACTTTTTAAACCCTCGCATTTCATTGTTGTTGTGTGAAACCCAAATTTATTGTTACTGGGAACCCCGATGCACCAGCAATGCAGATTGAATTAGATTGAGCTTGAAGGTTTTCGATTCTTCTTGCTACCCTTGACAGGAAAATCCACCAAAAGCTGAGCTGAAGAATCTCCAGGGGGAAAAGGCTTTCAACATATGTTGGCCTACCGACTGTTGAGACGGGATAACAAACCCTCAATCCCAGCTCAGCCCGTGCGCCTTTAGGACACGGAACAACCAGGGAACTGGGAATCTGAGTCGATTTGGGATTTTCTGTCCGTAGATTCCTGGACTTTTTCGTTTCTCTCGGGTGTTTGTCTGTCCTGCAATACTGCTAGTCATACTTTTGGGATTTTCTCAGACCTATTGACCCAAACTCACGGGACGGAGAGACGATTTCTTCTTCGTCTCCGCTGTTTTTCGGGTCAATGTCTGGCGAATCTAGGGACACAACAATGGGCCCTCTACTCTAAATGATTAGCAAAGATCGCTTATTCCGTATGAATTGGAGCCTCTATATAACAAGTGGATTTCTTTGGTCTATTTAGTCTTTGGGTCCCTGTAGCTTACCGAACCGATACGGGGCAGAGTTTTCCTTGGTATTTGAATACCAGTAGTGTGGGATCTCGACCGCGGTATCGAAAAAAAAAAATGTATCCACCATGGGAGATCTTTTTTCGTCTTCGGAACAGTGACCCTCAACAGTGGAAATCCGCTAGTTCGCCGACGCTAGTTTTAGTCATCCAAAGACATAGTCGCAGAGACCTAGATTCAAGCTACAAGTTTTAGTAGAAAGCACCGTTCTATATTCAGCATTGGGATTGATAGTATAGCAAGTATCTCATACTAGCAATAGGATACAAACAATAATGAAGCTCCGACGCTGCACAAGCATAGAGAGACAAGAAAGAGGGATCCACACAATAATGGATTATGAATAATGACGGGCGCCTCTTTGGACAGGGAGAGGAGCCCACCCTGGGGAAAGCGGTGTACTGCCGAAATGAAAACTAAGCGTCCGGCAAAGGCAAGGGAAGCCCCTCCAAATCTTGATAGGACAGGGTTTGGGTGTAGGCAGATTTTGTCCATGTGTGTATCGCTCCGGGAGAGAAGGAAGAGTGCCACCCTTTTCTCGTTCGTTGATGAGTACCAGTTCAGGAAGGACAAGTGTGAATGCATTGTTTCGGGGTAACAGACTCATTGTAATTCAAAATCATACCAAAGTGATTGGCCGCAAAAGGCCAGTGTGTGTCCATGTATGTTGCGCATGGTTGGGGAGGGCTCTTGAGTTTCTTTTTGCCTTTGCCGCCTTCAATGCACCGAAAGAAGGTTAAATTGCTTTCTCACCTTTTCATGACCCCGTGCACTTTGTGTTTCCTTGGTTCGACCCGACGGGCTGGTACGCACGTCGTCTGACTTTTAGACGAACAGCAGCGACATGCAATAGAAAATAGCACAGCGCTTGATTTACACATGCATACACGTGCTAGTACCATCGGTAGGTAATCCAATGTAGGGAGCCGGCCTCGTGGGCCGAGATTGTACAAACGCGGCGTAGCAACAGATATCTAGCGTCCAGTCGGAAAAAGGGTTTGCCAAACGCTGGTTAGACAGGCTGGGTTTGATGACAAGAGGGTGGTGTTGCCAAGTCGGTGGTATTCCAAGTGTTCCAAGGGACCATGACATGTAGACAAACCACTTGGAGTCAAGTCCCAGCTCCTCGGGTGCGGGCGGGGTAAGGAGGGAAAAGAATAGTGGTGTCTGTTGTTGTATGTAACATATCCTCGTGTGTGTGGCCCTAAGAATAATCTTGCCTACTGCACTTGAAATGCACCTCGTGGTTTGTTCCAACTGCTCTAACCAGCCGCACCCACTTATGCAACGCACCCCCTTTTGCAACGTGTTATTTCCCACTCTACAATGCAACCCAATTACAACATTTTATTAATATCTCAATAGCCACTTGTTTAATTGATTTTATATTTTTAAAATGACTAAATTAAACGAACGCGATATAAAAAAAGCAATTTAAATGGTCGAAAACGGCTAAAAATTAACTAAAGTTGCATATAACTTTAGTATTTATATATTTACTTTATCGCGTAGGTTATAAGGTGTGCGATTTTATCGTAATGCCTACGAATTTATTTAAATTTTTTTAAAATTATAAAAATAAAAGCTTAAAAATTAGATTTTATACGAGGAATAATGCGGACGAGCTTTTTCGAAATAAATCGTACGAAACGTGGCTTCGCAAATCGCCACTAGCATTAAATCTAATAATTAGGCTATTTATATTAAAAAAAATTAGGTAAATAAATTCGTATAGCGCTATTTATATTTAGTTATAAAGCTAAAACGGGTTATTAATGCCGATTAGATTAATAGGATTAATTCCGGGGCCATTTAAAAATTTTATATATTTATAAATAAGGTTTTAAAGCTATATTTAATTAAACCTAAAAATATATATAATATAAATAAAACTAGGATTTAAAAAAGTAAAGCTAAAAAAGGGATTATAATAGGTATATCGAGATTACGTCGCTTTCGCATTTAAAAATCGGGAGTAATTAAATAAATAATTACGATTTATAATATTAACGTTTTCGGCTTAATAACTATAATAATTTATATTTTAAAAAAAATAACGCTATAAGCGTAATAGTTTCCTAAAAATTTAAAAAAAGCTAAATTCATTGCTATATATAAAAAATAATCTAATTTTATTATAATATTTTCGTGGCTTAAGCAGGTATTCGGCCTAAAAACGAGGCCCCGTAAAAATACGTAACGGCTACGCCCTTAAAGGATATTAATATTAAATAGCCATAACACCTATTTGCCACCAAAATTTATATTTATAGCTTATTATATAAAAATCGCCTTAATATACCTACTTACATATATTAGCGAAGCCTTTTAGCCATTTAATAAAAGTGTATTTTCCTCCCTTAAGCATTATTATTATTAACAAATTAGCAAATAGCGTAAAATAGCAGCTATTAAATTTATTTAAAAGCAAAAAATGCTTATAGCCTATATTACGGCTTATTAATTAGCCTTTATATAAAAAATTATATAAAATAGCTAGCGTAAAACGGGCATATAACCTTTAGATCCTAATTAAATACTAAATAACCCTAAACTCTTTCCTCTAATCCCGACCCCCCCTTTATATACACCACCCGAACTTATAAATATAGCTAAAATTACTATTATAACTCCTTATAATAATAAAAATCTTTGGAATATATTTTTTTTTTATTTAAAAAAAGCATTTAGCGTTAAGGCGGGAGGTAAGGCAACTAATAACGAAAACGGCGAAAATATTAAATATAATAATAATAAAACTAGCTATAACGCGCCAAGAAAACTTACTTTTAACTATAAAACTAAGTAAATACAGGCCTAATAAGCGTTAAATAATTACTTTTAATCCTAATTAAATATTTGCTAATCTCCCACATATTAGATCTGCTTAAAATAAGCTAAATAAGCGGCTGCGAAAAATGCTATAAAAAGAATAGGTTCCTATTAATAGTTTCCTTAAAATACAGCCTTTTATAGTTAAAAAAAACGTAAAAATTAGATTTATAATTAAAAAAATCAATTTAGGTGTGTTATAGTGGGAAAATATTCAATTATATTATATGTTCTGCATCGGACTTTGTCAAAAATCCGTTGCAAAAGGGGGTGCGTTGCATAAGTGGGTGCGGCTGGTTAGTGTGTCCTGGATCGGCCAAGCTTTTCATTCCAAGTTGGCCTCGCGTGGCAGCAACCATGGACGAAATCATAGATGTGCGTTTATAGTCGTCATGGTAAGATCTAGTCTAGTCGATGGACATGTGTCTCATCGTCAAAAGTCAATCGTGCAGATTCGCATCCAGGTGGATCGATGCTTGCACCATTGCCACGCCATTGCTCCAGAGCAGGTCGGTTCCACATACATTCTTGCTTGGTAGTACGTGGGGTTTTCTTTTCCCTATTTTTTTTTTCGGTCTCTGCTGCTGCATATGGATATTGGCATCGTTTCCCCATGCGACAAGGCGATTCCCCATGCAGAGAGCAAAATCCGTCAATCCCCCGGAATGAACATCGCTACCTAGTCCGGCGGTGCAAGTTCTTACCCTCCCTCCCCAATGGCTGGAGATTGCTGCCTCTAAGCCCGTGGCCAAAGGAGGATGGATGGATTGGTGGATGGATTAAAGCTAGATATTACGGGCATGAGGTAGGAGCTCAAAGTGTAACGATACACAGTCTTTGTCATCCACACACATGGAGCGAGCATATTGATCCTCTTGTCGTAGAGGTACCTCGGGGAGACAGGCTATCGAGGAATACTTCATGTTATGCAGTCAGCACTTGCCGCTCGACAGTCTCCGGCACTCGTGGCGGTCCTGGTGAGCATGCTGATGATAACGATGCGGGAAGCCCAGCAAGTGATCTCCTTCTCTCTTTCTCTCAGAGCCTCTTCCACTTCCACCTTGGCGCCTTTAGCAATCTTTTGCGGTCTAGTTCTCTTGATTTTTCTCGGGTATGGGCGGCGGATGTTGTTGTAGTGTACTAAGTGGTCGCCCATCCTTGTACCACTACCACAAACTAGTTGCTGCCAATTCTCTTGTAATCGGCCCGTCTCCAAGCTGGAGAAGAGGATCCCGCGGGGTTTTAGTGGCTCCAGCGAGGCCCCGTCATCCCCGGCCGATCCACATGCAACGAACGACCGACCCCCAATTCCCCCAGGCCCAGGGGGTTCCAACAAGCATAATTCAAACGACGCCAAAATCACCGTGTACGGAGTAGTACCAAGTGTTCCTCCTACCCATCGGACTAGTCGTTCAATGTCGTCGGATTGCGCCGTCGCAACTGGATCTGTTGACCTCATGATTGTCAGATATCAGGGATCCCGTGCCCTTTGGCGATTTGTCTTCAGCTTGCTTGCTCTGCCTAGAACGCCTCAGCTCCGTCGGGGTAGTCGTCCATGGAAAAGGCCCGGTTTCGTGCATCTTCTAAATAATGACTATTCTTTCGGAAATCGGTTAGAAAAGATGGCCTTCCTTGCGCTTGCCTACTGTGTAATAACTTTGAGCAACCATTCAAATCCATGGCCACACCGTTGCACGAAACCATTGCCTTTACAGGTTTGATAGTTTGTTGCACCTTTCGGCGCCTGGCGGTTGGTTCATTCTATTGGATGAGGCTGTCCCCTACTTTCAGCTCAAAGGGTATTGTGAGCATTCCAGTGGTGGATAGCATCCAACCGCTTCATGGTGTCTTGTGATGTCTACGCCTCTTTTGCCTCCTCGTAAAATTGACGATTTTCCATGACGAGCAGCTCAAGTATCCCAAGTCATCAGTCGTCCTCGTGGCTTGACAAGTGGATATTCCTCTCGGCGGGCTTCATGCCAGCAATCATCTAGAATCCCCGTTCTAGTTCAACTTATTTAACCTTGGAAGCATCTTGGGTAGTTCTGGCCTCGCAAGGAGTCCAGCTAGAACGCCCACCGAAGAAGAAAATAACAGGGGAGCTCTTCCCGTGCGTCGGCAGTGGACTTTCGGTCTCATGAAGTGCAGAGCTTGACGCCGCCGTGGCCAAAGTCACTTAAGCCTTGAGACATTCTTGTGGCTTATTACCCATGAAATGAATCATATTCCGATTTCAGAGGGAAAAATTTTGCATGTCAGAGAAACTGTGACTGTTTCGTAGCCTCCAAGGGACCATCCGCGCCTAGCCAAGCCACTCCATTCTTTGGGTTAGCATCATACGGAACAAGAACCTAATCCTGGACAATCCCCGCGTTGATACTCGGCCTTACTGTGGGGAGGCTACAGACGTTGGGACTTGGCAAATGGCTTTCTCAAAGCCAAAGTAACGTCGCGTGTTCAAATGACACGACCCATGGGATGGGCACAGGTAGAAAAGTATCTTTGGATACGGACGAACATTCAAGCCCAAGGTTTCGTGACCCGTCAGCTGACCTTTGCCCCGAGTACGTGGACCTGCGAATAACCTCTTTGCCTCTGACTCGACGCTTTTGATATTATTATTTCTTTTTGGCATGGGCATTTCCTGCAATGAAGATTGAATCACGCCGAGTACACTCGAGACAGCAAAAGTCTCCCCAAGGCAAGACACGATTCCATGTGCTCGACCTCGAACAGGGGGGAAAAAGAGGCGTGGCCAAGTGCGTCTGCGGCGCCAAGTAACCCGCTGCCTATGTGCGTGCGGTATTGACGACGCCAGGCGATGGGTGGACGTTTCGGGTCAAGAATTTCTGGCAGACTCACAAGTTGACGATTTCGACAAAGCATACCCACGCAGCACTTGCTAATACGGGTACGTATCGTAGCTCAGATGGAACCGTTTGTTTTGGGTCTGGACTATCTTGGATGACAGATAGTCCATTGCCTGTTCCGACCTAGCCTGTCGGGACCAGGACGGACTCATCTGTCAGTCAGCTTGTGTCTGGGATCAGAACTATTCTACCCCAATTCGCACCAAGCCGATGAACCATGTGACTTGCGAGGAATTCCAGGACTAGAACATCCGCAAACAGGCATTGATTTTGTCCCAGTGTACGTAAAGGAGCTGCTTTCATGGCTCGAGTCCCTTGACAGCACATATCGGATTCGTCTCGAGCACTGACTAGTGGCTGGAAGAAATGCAACAAGGGGAAAATAAAAATAAAGTATGGCAAAAGCTTCTTTAGTACCATGAGCATGTTCCGAATGGGACGCGTGTTAGTAGATAGCTGCAGAAGCGTCCCTGGGTCCTGGGTGGCGCCAGAGGCTAATTCAACTGTTCAACTCCACAAGAAACTCGGCCCTGACAAAGACCTTTACTGAAAATACAAGGGACAAGAAAATAAAATGGAATAATTAGATAAATGAAGAAAAGAAGAAAATTTCCCCAAATCTCCAGGTTTCAGGGGTCTGGGGTAGAGCGTCCGCGAAGGATTCAGTGGGCCAGACCCGCATGCGATTCGCTGGAATGCGGCAGGACTTCAGCGTGGCCGTCCCCCCAGGAACTGAAAGACGGGCCTTCTAATCCCTGTCCATTGAAGACTACGGCCCAATCAAGATTGACCCTGGAGCCGACATCTGATCAGTATAGCGGATCTGCAGTCTGTCTGTCGCTCCCAGGCCAGGCCTAGATGCGCGCAGATGGACTGACCCTCGGCCGCGTTGCGTTCGTTCCCTCCTGGACGTGACCGATCGAGAGGTACCGTGTAGCTGGGGGAGGAGGAAAGAAGAAGAAAAAAAAGTCGAAAACTCTCGCGCGGTTGCGTGTAACGGCAGCGAGACACAAGGCGCCCTAACGCTCTCTCACCTTTTATCGCCTTTCCTTCACCTGCATCCCGTTGGCTGGCAACCACATACACGCACACCCCCCGGCCAAACCACCTTCGGCCCAGTCAGATACTCATTGGGACCCTTGCCGTCGATAATTTAAAATCTCGACGGCCTCCCCATCTCTTTTTCCAAAAATTCCTTTTCCCTTCCCTTCTCTGAGCATCCTCTTCAGTGTGTGCCTGCCTGTCTGTCTGCCAGATCAGAGATTGGTCCAGGTCCCATCCCATTCTTCATCTTCTTTTCTCATCATCCCGAGACAGGACTCTCTCCAAACAAGATGGCTGGTGGTGTTGTCGTCGAGGGCACGACCGATGTCGCCCGCACCGAGGCCCCCGTCACCTTCAAGGCGTACCTCATCTGCGCCTTTGCTGCCTTTGGTGGTATCTTTTTCGGATATGACACTGGTTAGTCCCAAGCTGCCGCCGCGAGCCATCCTCATCATGACTTGTTCTTGCTGACGTTTGTTGCCAGGTTGGATGAGTGGTGTCATGGCCATGCCATACTTCATCAGCCTCTACACCGGTCACCAGTACGACTATGGCGCCGCAGCTCCCATTGGCATCGACGCCGACCACTTTGTCCTCCCCACTTCTCAGCAGTCCCTGTTCACCTCCATGTTGTCCTGCGGTACCTTTTTTGGAGCCTTGATTGGTGGTGATATTGCTGATTTCATCGGTCGTCGCCCCACCATCATCGCTGGTTGTTTCGTCTTCGTTGTCGGTTGCATCATGCAGATTGCTTCCACAAACCAAGAGGTTCTGTTCGTCTTTGGCCGTCTTATTGCTGGTGGTGGTGTTGGTTTCATCTCGGCTGTTGTCATTCTCTACATGTCCGAGATTGCTCCCAAAAAGGTTCGTGGTGCCATGGTTTCTGGCTACCAGTTCTGCATCACCATTGGTATCTTGATCGCGAACTGCGTCGTCTACGCCACTCAAGGTCGCGCAGACAGTGGCTCGTACCGTATCCCCATTGGTGTCCAGTTCTTGTGGTCCATCATCCTGGCCATTGGTTTGTTCATTCTTCCCGAATCGCCCCGTTTCTACGTCAAGAAGGGCAAGATCGAGGAAGCCGCCAAGGCTCTTGCCTATGTCCGTGGTCAGCCCCAGGACTCGCAATACATCAAGGATGAGCTCGCTGAAATCGTGGCCAACAACGAGTATGAGCTCCAGGTCATTCCCCAGACCAGCTACGTTGGCTCCTGGTTGGCCTGCTTCAAGGGCTCCCTCAGCCAGGGCAACAGCCCCATCCGCCGCACCATTCTTGGTACCGGTATGCAAATGATGCAGCAGTTGACTGGTATCAACTTCATCTTCTACTTTGGTCCCGTTTTCTTCAAGCAGCTCGGCACAATCTCCAACGTCTTCTTGATCTCCATGATCACCACCCTCGTCAACTGCTTGTCCACTCCTATCTCCTTCTTCCTCATTGAGAAGCTCGGTCGTCGTGCACTGCTCATTGGCGGAGGCTCCGGCATGATCATTTCGCAGTTCATTGTCGGTGCTATCGGTGTCACCCAGGGCACAGTCGAGGCCAACAACACCTCGGCTGTCAGCGCCATGATTGCCTTTATCTGCATCAACATTTCCTTCTTTGCCGTCACGTGGGGTCCCACAGCCTGGGTTATTGTCGGCGAGATCTTCCCTCTCCCCATTCGATCTCGTGGTGTTGGTGTCTCTACCGCCTCCAACTGGTTCTGGAACACCATCATTGCCGGTAAGTTATATTTGCGACTCCAGCGCGTTTGATGGAAGCAAAAGCTGACGATGCCTCCTAGTCATCACCCCATACTTGGTCGGTGATGACAAGGCCGCCCTTGGCCCCAAGGTCTTCTTCCTCTGGGGTTCGCTCTGCTGCCTCAGCGTCACCTTTGCCTACTTCCTCGTTCCTGAACTCAAGGGTGTAAGTTTTCCTCGAGACTCGGCGTCCTCCGATGGTGAGAACAAAGCACTGACACGAATTTTAGCTCTCGCTCGAGCAAGCCGATCAGCTCATGAACGAAGTTTCCCCTCGCAAGTCAGCTGGCTGGAAGCCGACTGAGACCTTTGCCGCCAAGATGCACCACGTCCACGGTGACGAGAAGACCGAGACTCACGTTGCTGAGCAGCAGGTCTAGACAGCCACTATTGATACCCAAGATACCCCAAATCTTCTGTTGTTTGAGGTCGGCCTCGAGATACATTAGATGGTATGGTGATACACTAGATAATGTAGACGGAGGAGAGTCGATAAGGCGGGAGGTTGTTGCGTTTCGCATTGAGTAAGATACCATGCCATAAAAGTCGGTTGACTTGGACACTATATAATAATGAGAGACTGTACATGTCAGTTTGCCATCTTGTCGCCCATTTGAGAAGTTTCATTGCCATCCTTGATCTGATGTAAACGTTAGTGATGACCAGGCTTGTCATTGTTGCCAAGTGGTGCCCATGGGGCAATGAATGATACACAAGTAGCTCGTGCGGTTTACGCTCCATCTGCCTGCAGGTCTTGTCTGCATGGCCCGAGGACTAGCAGCCTGTCTGATCACGCTACAAGTCTGCAGCAAGGTGTTCAGGGATATCTTGCTCAGCTTAGGAGATCTGAGAAACTTTTACTCTTGAGCTTCTTGGCATCAGTTGATGAGCTGCTTGATTTCGTGGGCGTCAAAGTGTTTGAGTGATCAAGAAGACTGCCGCTGTGCCTTTTGACCGAGGACAAGAGGAGTATTTCCCCCTCTGCCACTTTGTCTAGTGTATCGGCGACACGACCGCTTTGATGAGTGGTTCAAGCTGTTTCTCGTCAATGGGTGAATAGTTGGCAGCCTCGAATCGATTTTGTCGAGACGTGTCCATACTCGAGCGACTGGCAAAAGTCTGTGGGGGAGTAATCATTGCGGCCTGAAATGTCCTTGATGGTGGAGTGCAATCATGTGCCATGGCAGCTCAGGTCGCTGGAATAATCAACCGTGGTTCCGTGAATGATCCCATGGAGCAAGGACCAGGCGACTCGGTGGCACGGTATCGGAGGGTTCAGCCATGTCCACAATGACAGAAGATCTCCATTAGGATCAAGTCTCTCAAAGATGAATGTCGCTTCATGATTTGAAGGCCGGCCTTTGTTCATGCTCACGCCACTCGCGGATCATCAAGGTGGGCTGTCGTGTACCCTTGTGGAATGAGTGCGAGAAGATGTCGGGCGACGACCTCTTGAGAGAACCGACCTTTTGGTGGACGCGTATTGTTGTTCATGCCAAAAGAAGCTCAGTTCGAGTCCATGTATAGTCGCACGTGCTAGTAGCCAACTACATCGTGCGCTGCATATTTCTACTTTCGATACCGTGGAGAAACGAGAGATTGGGAGTAGTAGGACAGATTTGAATTGCAAAGGAGAAACGGGTCATTGTGGTAGTTTTATTGCTCTGGACAAAGGAAAACAAACAGTCACCGGCTTGTTTTTTTCTCGGGCAGAGCGGCTCGGCCATGGCAGGAGCATTCGGCCCTTCAACGGTCAGATATGGAGACTAGATGCGGATCTGTGGGGAGCCAAAGGGGAACAACCCCCGCAAGATCGTGGGTTTAGCACGGAGCAAAGACAACGATTGCGGGTATGCTTACAGTGGACCCTAGAGCAGAAATCCTTGGAAGAGATGAAATGATTTATTGAGTGGATATTTCTGTCTGGATTTGGTTTCTTGTGACTTGAAAATTCCGCCCGGGTATGTATTGTGTACGTGGGTAGAAGCGGTTGGTGTTTGTGGTATATATCCGACACTTCATTCTGTAGGCAAAGGTACTCACGGAGGGTGAGATGAGTGGCCAGTTTGAGAAGAATCCATTGGGGTTTCTCTTTTCCAAGGTTCCATCACTTACACGGATGTTACCTGATTATTTGCCTCACATGGCCTCTCTAGTACCTTGCAGTGTTACAATGCCATGGCACGAGGCCAGTGTTTGTAGACGGGAGAAGCAAGCGCACGCTTGAATAAACCTGCCATTTCCGAGCCAACTAGACATTTGATGGACTACTTGCCGCGAAGATGACTTGAATGACTTGATATGGACAGTATTGGGCAGATGAATACCATGCTGAAACAAATATTACTCTTAATTCTTGCATTCGATGCCATTCTGTTCCATCTTCATTTGTGGCATCCAACGGTTCTTTTGCGAGCGAATCCACCGAACCTTATACTGGCGGATTACCTCTTTGGGAATACTCCGCTGTTTGAAGATGGGCAACTGAGACTTGCGGAGATATCGTATTCACCTATTTTTCCCCCATCCCCTCCCTTCACAACAGCCTACACTGGGCAATCAAGAATTCCGACTCACATATCTTACATCATCAGGGCTTCAGAAGCATCTGTTAATGCTGACTGCTAATAGCTCAAACCTGTAGGCCGCAATATGAAAAAATTTGTCTACATCTCCAGCCAGATTGCAGGAGCAGTATTCCGTGGATTCGATTCCTTCGGAAACACGGGACGGGCCTCACCACAATTGCACGGCGCCTTGCGCGTGGTATCGTACATGCTTCCGGGCCGCAAAAAGCAAGTAATCCTGGCTAAATGATAAAGAAGCTTTGCCGCGATGAAAGCATATATGTCCATGTTTCCGCCATCGATATGTTTTTAACATCTGATAGTAAAGCATTAGCTTATCAGGTGGCCCAACTCGACGGACAGGTAATTCCATTCATGCCTTTTGACCAAGGAATCGCCATTGTTGGCTCATTGAGCTGAGGTCCGAAATATCTTTACAAGCACCAGCGCAACGAAAACAACAGAAAGTTGAAAAACAAAACAAGTACTGCAAACATATGGATGCGGTATCATAAAATTAAAGGAATCAGATCTAGAAGCAACAAAACAAACACATAATAGCTATTCCAAGCAAAACTCCAAACACCAATGCAATGCCTGTGTCTAGCAATCATCAATCGTAAGATCTAAACCATGCCAATCCATCCGCCTCCAGGAGATACCGTAACACGTCAAATTCCGTGTCCATCTCACGCCAAACAGTCCTCAAGTCTTGGGCTTACTTGCGCTTGGTTATGTTGCACTTGGTCAGGCACTCCTCGACACCACGAGCAACATTCTCTGAAATTTGACCCCGAAGCTTGTCAACATCGGCGCCGCTAATCTGGTTACCAAAAATGGCGGCTGTGAGCTCCTCGTCTGACCCGGCAAAGAGCTCCTGAGCAACCTGACCGGTACCAAAGTCCTCGGAATTGAATGCAGCGACGAACACGGCGGGTTCGCAGTTGGGGTTGAATTGGGAGTGAACCGAGCCCTGGTAAAAGACGGTGGCGTCAAACTGGTTGAGCGTTGTCATGATCTCCCGCCGCGTGCCGTCGGTCAGGTTGACGCCATTCTCGGGGAACATGGACGTCACCACTGAGCCCTGGACGACGACGGCGAGCTCCGTGGCACGCGGGTGGACGTGGGGCGTGTTGAAGCCGCAGGCATCGAGAAAGGCCACGGCGGCACCAACGCCGCTGTTGGTCAGCGCGGGAAAGGTCTTGCGGTTCGCTGGGACCACTTCACCGCCCTCGCCAGGTCCTCCCTTCTTCTTGTCGACAAAACTAAACTTGAAGTCGTCGTTGCTGGTCAAGACATTGTTGATGGCGTCGGCACGACTGCCGGATGCAATTGTTAGTGTTATTCGATTGAGAAAGTACATTGTTTTTCAGCCTGCTTACCTGTCACTCAAGAAGACTTGAGCTGTTTTAGACAATCCCAAAGCGGCAAGAGGATTCGCCGTGGGTGTTGCTTGAGCCGTATAGGCAGACGACGACGTGCTACCGTTGACAGGAGCAGCCGCGGTGAAGGGTGAAAAGGCCAAAAGACTGGCGGCGATGATGGATCGGGAGTGCATTTTGCTGGTTTCGATCAAGTAGATGTCGATAGAGAACCAAGATTGGAATGGATTTGAGAAATGCCAAAGAGAATTAATATGAAAATAGTTGAAATCTACAAGTGTTGCAAAGCTTGGAATTCTATTGTATCGATTGACTGTGATTGATGTTGATGGCATTTTCCTTCATCGTGGGCAACAGTCTGGTCTTATATCTTGTGATGGATGTTGTAGTCAGTCCTACTCTTTTTGATGAGGCCATCCACACAGCCCTTACTTGCGGCTTTGCCATTCCAGCCAACAGCCAGTTGGTCGGAACAACAAATAACAGCTAGCCACCCTGTACTCCGGCTAGAGGCTGTGAGATTATCGGCTTCAGCATGATCCGACCCAAGACCACGAGCGGTAAGAAAATAGCTGGCTGCAATGAGGCTGTATGTGGTGTAGCTCGCTAAATAACGTGGCGGTGCTCGCAGCCGACGATCAAAAATAAAACAGCAGTGAGCGTGCGTGCTTGAGCTAAGCGCCAACCAGGCCAATCACAGACGAGGGAGCGCTTATGATCTGGCACCAACAGCACTGCGAGGGAGTTCAAATGGCGCCTCGTCGTTTATTTCCCGTGCAGATACAATCTATTTACTATCCGGATATGGAATACCCGGATTCGCAAACTTGATTGTAGCCCGATGATCCTCTTGGGTAACCCATCTCAGTTTGCTCGTGTTTAATCACGTGTGTAACGGTTGATGAGCTGGCAGCACAGATCAAATGGTTGTCGGGCTTTACTTTACATGGGTGGGAAGCGTTTCGTTTCGTTTCGTTTTCCGCATTGGATCAATCACTGCTGACGCCACGGGAGAGTGGGCGGTCCTATCGTGGGTATTATGCTGACGTATCTAGGTAGCCAGCCGGATTGCCGGTATCGCCAATCATTTCGCTGCAATATCGTGACCTTTTCCAACAACAGAAGACCTGCAGTCGCCTCGTCATGCGATAGCCTATTGAGCATTCTAGTGACCTCTTGGATGCACAATGATAATACAAGACAATAAACTATTATCGTTGCTCGTTTTGTGATGGCCACTATAAGAAACATTCAACCGTAAAGTTTTGGCGTTGGAAATTTCCTGCTGAGGAAAGGGTGACCCAGAGGAGGGAAAAGAAAAGAAAATGGTTCAAGAACTCGAGGGAAAAGAAGAAAGTGAATGTGGGGATAGAAAGAAGAAAATGAGCCAAAGATATCAACGACCCTGGTAGTTGGTTGGGTTCAAACCCGACAACCTATCGCCAAGAACATAAGTTTTTACCTAGATGGCCCCTACACTCAAGTTCTTCTTAAAAACGCTGTCTTTAAGCCTTTTTGTTCTTATGGGTTATGATTTTTCTCCTTTTTACATTTATATCGCATCCCCATGTATTGTCAAAATCATTGCCAGAAGTACCTATAGGTAGTACTTACAGTATCGGGCGGAATGTCATATATACCCTGCATCCAGCTGATGCAAATGGGTCTTTGCTGAACAAGATTGTTTGATGTCGCAATCGTAAATGCTGAATGTCAGTATGTGGCTCAGCATGAACGCTCCCACCACTTTGTGCAATAATATGAGGACAAGACCAGCATATCTAGTAGGTAGCTAGAAAATGTATTGTCGTACACGAGCTCGGATTTAAATGCCGCGGAACCTATGATCAAATAGGCTTGTTTGTGCTGCCGTGGAAATGATTGAAAGATATCTCTGGGCTTTTCACAAGTTTTGAGACATGGACCAGAAAATGGAGTCGTCTGATCAAGTAAAACCACTGTACGAAAGAGGGGAGAGAAAGATGCAAAATAAACAAGGCGCGGAGCGATGACTGCTGAGAATAGAGATTTATATTCAAGATCGGAAAGCGGCATTTCAAAATATAAACGATGATATGGATAACTGCGAGACCATGGAAATATTTGGGGCAATTCATCGTAGCTTGCCGTATCACGGATCAACACACTTGCGAGTCGAGATGGCGGCTGGCAGCAGTCGCATGAGTTTGCAAGGTTCTGGTGAGCGAAAGAATAGCAATGGATGCGACAATTTTGCTGCTGCTGCTGTTGTAAAAGACCAATCCCAAACGTTGCTGCCATTATGATCATACAAGTGCTGTTGTAGTAATGAGCGACGTTTGTATCAGCCATGAGACGATCGCAACAAATAATCTGATCGCATTGGTACTTTGTGGAACAATCTTTCGAAAAAAGACCTCAGACAAGTGACGTATTGTAGATTAAAAAACAAAGTGATGTTGATAGATTCTGTCTCCAACCTTAAAGAGACGTGCAATAGCATCCGTCCTCCCGCTGTCATTCCATGGCTTCCAAGGAATGTTTCATCGGGCCGTGCATGCGGACAAATGAGCAGGTACTTTGTACCATGGGGTTTCTTCGGCGCTGCGCTGAGCTGAGCTGACGCCAAGGTCGACCGGATATGACTTGACGCGTTCATTTGCTTCCACGTCCAAAAGAGGTCTAATATATTTATATATACTATTCATTAAAAGCATGTTCTTCATGAATCAGGAAATCCGGCTTTTCATCGAGATTTTGCTGCTTACCTACAGAAATGCAATCAAGTTTTGGGCACTTGCGCTCGAGCCACCCATGTCTCGCACGACTCATAGTAAGCCAAGTCTAAAATAACCTTATCTAGAAACATAACAACGGGAATGCATTTGGGCGTGGATGGATCTCGCTGCAACCCCACGAAGAAGCAGGCACGGTAGGTTAAAGAAAAATAGAAAACCCCCTCTCCGATTGACAGCGGGCGAGCGACTGGCGATCAACACTACTTTCCATGACAGTCACCGTTTTGCCCCCCTTTTTTCTTGCAAATCCAGAACGCTTCAATTTCCGGATCTGCAGCGGCTCTGTCAAGACTCAATGGCCATCGAAAATGGCGTCTTTGGGGTGTGATAGACTGCAAACTAGGCATGAGCCGGTGCAGTGAGTTGGCGCGTAAGGAGTGGAAACGAACAAATGCATCCGTCCCCAGCGAATACCATGTAGTATCGAAATCTCCTTTTCGCGGGGTACAACATGCGCACAGTAATATTTTTCTTACCTCTTTTGTTTTTTTAAGCATCGGCCTGTGCTGGGAATCGCTGCGTGGTGGGCATGCATTCAGACAGTACCGACCGAGTCCATCAATATTCACAGGGCGCACTCATAATTGACACACGCTCTCTCTTGCTTGTCATGATGCCTGCCATCACACCAAAGAGCTCATTTCGGCTGAGGATCAAATTCATTTGGTGCCGTCACATTATTGGCTGGCGAGGGCGACTTGGCTCAGGAACCCAATTCCAGACCAGGCCAATCAATTGGCTAGTCTGCTGATCCCTGAGAAACACCATAGCCAAGCATGGCGGGTTTTCCACTGGTTCCTGACTTGTGGAGTCTCACCCCCTGCTATTGACTCCAGTCCTTCTCTGATCGGCTCTTGTGCTTGCGCTTTCTGGAGTCCCCGGCGTCCCGTTTTTTTTTTCTTTGGTCATGTTTCTGTGGGTTCCCAGTGTATGTGAGAGAGTCTCGTTGGACGACAGACTGACCGTCTCGTGTTTCTCTTCTCCATCCCCTAGAACGGGTCTCAGTCACTCTTTTGCTCAGCTTCACCCACTCCAAGCAACGCGGCGTCGGTCAGGAGGTCAAAGCTGCAATTGCGCTCTTGTGCTCTATTGAGCACTGTCACTCATTTCTCTCCTTCTTTTTTGGTTCTTGCCTTTGCAATACCTTTGCGATTGATCACTCGTGACGCTTGGTTGTCGTCTGTGTGAATCACTTACACTCTTTAGCTATATCGCTCTAGTCACTCCTTGAAACAGCGCCCAATAAACGCTTTGGTCGCAACGACAAACTCGAGACATTTACTCAAGACATCTATCATCGTTCCTCGGATCCCGCGTTCACTCGCTGCAGGCACTGTGATTTGCAAGGAAGAAGAAAGCATTCCCTGCTGCGAATATCGTCATTCATTTGAATTGCGCATCCAAGGACAAGCATCATGAAGCTCGCTGTGCAAACCGCCCTGTTGGCGGCCTTGCTCTCGGCTGTCGACCAATGCCTGGCAACATCTCACCACCGGCATCACCACCGCAGGCATAGCAAGCCCGAAATCAGCGACAGAAACACTACCGGCGATATCATTCACCAAAAGAACCTCGAACTCAAAGCGCGCGGCCTTGATACTTGCACGTTTCCTAGCTCTGATGGTCTGATCGCAATCACTCCCGGCAGCGACAATGCTGGATGGGCCATGAGCCCTGATCAGCCTTGCACCTGCGGAAGCTATTGCCCGTATGCCTGCCCGCCAGGCCAGGTTTCGGCTCAGTGGAAGGATGGTTCGACATACGCGACTACCGATAGAATGGTAAGTTGGGCATGGAACTGGTAGCAAGAATCCTGTCCGCTAACGCACCGTAGGCTGGTGGACTTTACTGTGGTCTGGATGGCAAGGCGGTCAAGCCTTTTACCAGCAAGCCCTTTTGCGTAGACGGCACCGGAACGGTCCAGGCTGTAAACAAGGTTGGCAAGGTTGTGTCCTTCTGCCAGACTGTCCTGCCTGGCAACGAGGATATTCTCATCCCCAACGATGTCTCCGATACCTTGACCCTGGCTGTGCCGGACACATCATACTGGCAATCGACTGCATCTCAGTGAGTTGATTTGATTCCGTCGTGCAAGAGCGCCGCCTAACGAGGACGATAGCTTCTACATCAACCCTCCCGGAGTCGACTCTGACAAGGGTTGCCACTGGGGAGACGATTCCACACCTATTGGTAAGTCTATTGGGCTACCTATTCACGACTCGAGACTAATCATATCAGGCAACTGGGCTCCTTATGTGGCCGGAGCAAACACTGATGCAAGCGGATTGACATATGTCAAGGTTGGCACCAATCCCATCTGGCAAGGTTCTAGCCTGTACGACACAAAACCCACTTTTGGACTCAAGATCGAGTGTACTTCCGGCAGCTGCGTGGGCCTTCCATGCACAGTCGACGGCAGCGGTGTCACCAGTGACCTCAAGGCCACTGGAGCTGGTGGCTCCGACTTTTGTGTGGTCACGGTGCCCAAAGGTGGACAGGCCAACATTGTCGTCTATAGCCTGGATGGCTCCTCGGACAGTGCAACGACCTCATCTGTCGCCACGACAACTTCCAAGGCGCAACCGACGACTACTTCGACCACGTCAACGTCAACGTCAACTAGCTCGACCACGTCCACGACTAGCTCGAGCAAGACCACCAGCACTTCCACGTCTTCTTCTTCGACTTCATCAACGGCTTCTTCGACCACGCTCACACGCAGCTCATCCAGTAGCCCCGCCAAGAGCTCGTCCTCTGCTGTTGTCAGTCTGGTGATTGGTGGTATCTTTCAGGAAAATGGAACCACGACCGCTTCCGAGACGGGAAGCAGCAGTGCTCAATCTACCGCGGCCGCAACCACCGGCGATAGTGCCGGATCTGGTGAATCGAGCACTGGCTCCGCCCAGGCGACCGAGTCTTCCAAGAGCGAGAGCTCTGCCGCTCAAGGCAACGGCGCGATCGCTGGCCTCATTGTTGCCATTGTTGCCGCTGCTTGCATCTTATAATCCTGATGCACTTGTGCCTCAAGTTTATAAACAAACTTTCTCACGCTCAAAACGAATGGATTCACGATAAACCCCTTTTTTCAACGGCCCAAACATTGGCCCATTCTATCGGCCCGGACCAAATTTGTGTTCGGCCTGTTATTTTGGATATATTCTTTTTTAAGCCTTTATGGCTTTGCACATGACCGACTACTACAACAACTACTTATTACATATTACATACTGTTTATTGTCTACCCAGATTCATTTGGATATTCTTTGAGAACTGCCTGCAAGTTTTTCAAACTTTCAGAAACTTTGCAGCTTTTTTCATTTTCATTTTTATTGCTTCGACCTTATACCCCCCAAACTTCATTTTGAACTAGCGTGGTGTGTCGGTTTGTGGCCTTTTGACCTTTCTAGATATCATTTATTTATTTTTACAATTTCATGCCGAGGAGGGGGAAAGGTGAAAAAACAACAACAGGAACGTCAGGGAAGGCTGCCTCAATGCATCGAGCAAAGCGACAAGCGAGCATACGCAAACACATGGACACGGACATGATCAAGACGAGAGATGTGACGAAACTTATTGTCTTCCTTTTTTATACTTATTTTTAAGCTTAGTGCTTATTACCACCATTACTTCAATTCCCTCTCTTGACTCTACATAGGGCAAGAGCTCTTTTTATTTCTTCTCGGGGGCATGCCTGGAAGATCCGAGGTCTACAAGATGGGCATGAGGAGGGAGGAATTCTTATTCATGGTCGTTTACGACCATTTTCCGCTTCTGTTCTCCAGACTTCATGTTGGCCGAAATGCCCATCGGCTGTCATGCTGATATTGAATACAAAGACATTTTGAGAAGACAATTCAAACATGTCAAAGGTGCAACAAGTTGATGGAGTGATTATACATGTGGCTACAACCTAGGCGTGTACTAGGTTTCATTCCTTGCATCATACAAGAATGCATCCGAGGGTCTAGTGTTCCGCCTGGCCATTCATTTATTCGGCAGTTTCGTTTAGCTACCCTTTCACCCATCCCGGCACATCATCATCGGTTTGTCCAATGACTTTGGCCACACTCGGCCATCCTGCTGCTACGGGGCTGCCCTTTTTAGCTGCACCCATGATGGCAAACCGACCCAGCGAATGCGCAACGTAGCCGTGTAACAAACTCTGGGCAACAAGCGAGGCAACCACATCTTCCACATGCTCTGCTGTGGGAGCCATGTTGCCCCAAATAAGTCCGTCATTGGGCCGCAGCTTCTTGGGCCCACCTGGTGGAGGTACGAGGGTACTGTGGGCGTCGGTTTCAGGCATCCCGCTGTTCGTGACGGCTTTCATAAACATGGCGTTTACGTGCGGCGGCCTCTGCCGGGGTGCCATCTCAGATGGAACGTAACCCTCGAGGCGCTTCTGTATATATGTCGCTGCCACGAGAAGATGTGAAAGGTCCAGCGTTGCGGCCTTGTTGGATGGTGCGCTGGGGTCCATGGGGGTCGCTATGTAGGTTAGGAGGAATGTGCGTCGAGATAGCGAGCGCCATAACAAGGGCCGCAGCCTGAAAATGAGGGTCAACAAGAGACCCTTTCGGAACAGCCACTTTTCGTTGGCTGAAATGGTGGACTGAAACAGTAGATAATTGCCCGTCCGGACGGCTAGGGAAAGCTGCGAAAATATCGGGGCTAGAGTGGCAGCCTCTGGCCTTTGGAGTAGATTCGGGGACGGCAGATAACCAAGTATCATTTTGCAGGGAACCAGATAAGTCAGGACCAGCCTGCGATGTTTCTGAAAAACGGGCGGTGTCTGGAGATAGGCCTGCTCCAGGCATTGAGCCGCATGACTAAAGTGGTTATTGATGAAATGGAAGCGCCCCAGGTAGTAGAGATATGTGACCCGTTGAGCGGCGGGGTAGAATGACAGTGGTGGCGACTTGGATGTGATGTTCATAAAGATTGTCTTTGCGAGATATGTTTTGCGACACTGTGCACCGTGGTTAGTACATATTGTGATTACCAGCATACTCGACCAAAGGAAAGAAGAGGAAACTCACAGCAAAAAGGAGTTTTAGCGTAATGTTGGCAAAAGTATACACGCCAACCTTTTTCCCCTCTGGCTTCGAGAGTCTGTCACTCGTCCTGTCGGTTAAGCAGGAAGTAAAGACCCTCTGCATCACTTCAGCCGCCTTGTCAATGATGGACTTTTCTTCCTCGTCACCACCGCTCGTATCAATGGTCTGCAACTTTCTGGTGAGATCAGGACGTTTATTAAGCGTCATGGAGAGCTTTGAAAGTGAACCGCAGAGTGCTACACTGGTCTGCAGCATAATGATACCATATGTAGGATGATTCAGCGCTGTAGTGCATGAGCTGATGAATACTTGTCAGCAGTTTCTTTCAACATGAATGTCATCACTTCGAGTGCTACCACTCACTTTGTAAGGCCCATGAGCAGCTCATGGGCACGCAGCAGATCCTCAAAGTCCACATCCCGCCAATAATTGAGATAATCCACCATGAAGGCATTGAAACCGGGCCAGGCAGTCCCAGACTCGGATGAGACATCATCTTCCTCTGGTAAATGCTGTTCAACGAGCTTCTCGATCGAGGCCGTACCGCGAAGCTCCTGCGCGAGCATGTGGTAGTGGTCAGGAACAGGGGGCTCGACTAGCAGCCATTGCCGCAGCTGCTCCCCGTCACGACTTGCAAGAAATTTGCGCACTTGTGTCAGGAACTGCCCTGTCAGAGCCATGGCGTTGGCACGATTTGTACTCGGGACAGCTAGGCAGGCTAGCTAGCTACCCGGGTATGCGACGCGACAAGTCGTGATGAGATTGTTGATTGTCGCTCAATTTCATTCGTTGAAAAAAAGTTTATATGCAAACAGGGGAACCGTAATGTGTGTCGCTCCAAAGCGTATTTTTCCAGGTCCAAAGTATTCAAGCGCTCCAGTTGTCTGGTTGGTGTTTGTTAAAGGTCAAAATAGGTAGGTATCAAAGGAAACCCATCACAGATGCAAGGTTCCATGTTCTGTTGTTCGCGAGGCTGTTGAGTTATGTGGGTCTCGACCCAAGGGATTGATCCATTAATTGATGAGTCTGATCAGTGCGCGGCTGAAACCTAGTAGGTACGTACCTATTTCGAGTCAGCTACGTACCTCATCTGCAAGGCACCACATTGCCACATACGGACCAGACGTCAATCCATGCAGTCGATGGAGGTAGTGAATGTTCTTTTGGCACCAGCCAGGAGATATCATCTTGAAGAATTTCTCAAGTCTTTTCGGTAAATGACGACTCGGATGAGCTGCTGCCCTTTGTCATAACTGACAAGTAAAGGGTATCTTGACTGTCGGATGTCACGGGCTATAATTGGAGCTTTCAAGTAGGCACAACGCCACTTGCACATTTTGCATCATCTTTGGGCCGCGAAATGTTTCTCTCTCCCCATTTCTCAGAACTTGAAGAGCGCGAGTCGAAAAGATAGAGTCAAGTCATAAGTCCACATTGAGCGAGTCGCGAGAAGAGAACCCGGACTTTTAAAACGACTATCAGTGCGAGAACAGCATCCCTGTCTGTTCGGCCTGGCTAGATTCAATATCAATGTGCAATTGGAGGTTTGTACCTCAAAACTACCTACCTACTATTAGTCAAGTGCCTAATGTAGGTAGGTAAACGTCTGGTTCTTGGCCGAGCCTTTCTGCCGGGTCATTAGAGCTTTTAACACTAATGTACCTACCTACTAGGTACCTAATGTAGTACTTTAGCTCTTTGACAGCTTCAGAGCAAGAACCAAACAACAACAATATTATTAGCAAACGCTGGTCGACAATGGAACATTACAACAACAATGTCAAGCACTCGAACAATCCGCCTTGGTTTGTCACTTTTTTCCAGCTCCGTTTTTCGGCCTCTGGGCACATGCCCGTGCTTGTGCTGGCCTTGGACCAAGCACATTGCACATGATGTGATGGTCCACTAATTTGTTGTTTGCGCACGGCAAACAACTGAAAGAAGCCAACGGTCCTATCTCGGCTGCGAATCTCAAAGATTTCTCTCGACATTCCCAGACTTGCAAAAAAGTCTTGTTCAGTTCCTTGCATGTCGGGGCGGGACCGGACGGTCAAAGGATGAATGGGATGAATAGAAAGTCGATGCCAAGACACTGATGACTGAATCAAGAGGTTGACACCGTTCTTCTTTTAAAGATTGTGCCGCTAATTCGATACTTGTCGTTTTGCGCCCGTTATCTTCCATCATACGTCGCCCCACTCTGCCCAAGGGAGCCAGGGACTTTCTGGGCTGAAGGAGCTCGCGACGCGAGCTTTGAACGCGAACCTGGAGAGATTTCGATGCCATATCACTCTTTCCCCTTTCCTCTGCTTTCGCTCTGGGCATTCGACTGCGACTCATGATACAGCTCGTTGGTGCTCGAGAGACGTTGTCCCTATTCTCTCGATAGCAGATTCAAACAACAACCTGGGGAGAACGGGGCTAGCTTTTATCATTTGCGTGGACACCAGAGCAACCAGCAATGCAAAGCCACAGGCGGGTCACGACAAGCGTCTCCATCCTGCTGGGCTTGAGCCTCAATTCGGTCCTGGTCCCATCGCGCCGAAGCCCGAGGACACTGATCCTCTGGAAATATGAGGCGAAAAGAGGTTTAGTTGTGGCTGGAGAGCCTAGACGCTCTCCATTCCGTTTCCGCCAGCTCCACCCCGGCGCCATATCGCGTCTTCACCACATGGCCAAGACTCGCCAGGGGTCCACTATCGCCATGATTATGCCTTGAATAAGTGGAACCTCGCCAGAAACTCTATGAAACAGTATCGCGAGAATAGTGGCCATATGTACGTACATGTTGATGAACAGACATTTCATTTTGATATAAATACAACATGTCTCCATCTTCCCTTTTCTGTTGTCTGCGGGCTCACAATCTCTCTATCGGTTTCCTTCTCATCTTTGGAGCAGTGTCTCAATTTCTGCTCTTTACCTTGTCTTTATAGTATAGAGAAATCGTCGTCTTTCGACGCCTCTTCATCATGGCGACCCAACATTCGAGTGGTTCTGATTCCACTCTGAATCAGAATGATGTGCATGCCGCAACGGGACTACAAGACATGTCGAAACAGAAAACCCGGGATCCGGAACTGGATGTCAACCTCCCTTACCGAACCTTGAGCGAGCGGGCCAACATGGCCGAGTACACAACCGAACAGCCAGATGGACAAATACCCATCACCGCACCCGACAGCAAGAAGGAGTACAAATTGGTTGCATTTGTCGAAAACGACCCCGAGAATCCAAAGAACTGGTCCAAGGCATACAAGTGGTGGTGTACCATGGTTGTCGCCATGACCTGTTTCGTTGTAGCTCTTGCTTCGGCGGTCATTACCGCAGACCTCGATGCCCCGGCCAAGGAGCTTGGTGTTAGCAAGGAAGTGTCCCTTCTGGCCATCACCGTCTTTGTTGTTGGTTTTGGTGTCGGTCCCATGGTGTTTGCGCCACTGTCAGAGGTCTATGGTCGCCGTGTTATCTATGGCTCGACACTGCTGCTGGCCGTCATTTTCATCATTCCTTGTGCTGTGGCGCCCAACATTGCGACTCTACTCGTTTGCCGCGCTATTGACGGTATTGCCTTTTCGGCGCCCATGACCTTGGTCGGAGGTACACTTGCAGATCTTTGGAAGAATGAGGAGCGAGGTGTTCCCATGGCTGCCTTTTCTGCTGCCCCTTTTATTGGCCCAGCCATTGGTCCCCTCATTGGAGGCTGGCTCTCCATGGCTGCCGGCTGGAGATGGTTATATTGGATTCAGCTCATCCTTGCTGCGATCGTGTGGATTCTCATCACCTTTACCGTGCCCGAAACATATGCACCCACCATCCTGAAGCGACGTGCTGAGAAGAAGAGAAAGGAAACTGGAGACATGGAATTCGTCACGGAACAGGAGCTGGACAAGCGACCAATGAGTGCACGCATGAAGATTTTCCTTCTGCGACCTTTCCAGCTCCTCTTCCAGGAGCTCATTGTCTTCTTGATCAGTTTGTACATGTCCGTGCTCTACGGTCTACTGTACATGTTCTTTGTGGCGTACCCAATCATTTTCCAAGAGGGTAAGGGCTACTCTGCTGGTATTACTGGTCTCATGTTGTAAGTTGTCCACCCAAACAAAAGAAATCCGTCTATATATTCAGACACTGATGAAAATACAGCATTCCAATTGCTGTTGGTGTAGTCATGTCGGCCATGTGCTCGCCCTTTGTCAACAAGCACTATCTTACCCTTGTCAAGAAGCACAACGGAAACCCGCCAGCCGAGGTACGACTGATCCCCATGATGTTCTCATGCTGGTTCATCCCCATTGGTCTCTTCATCTTTGCCTGGTCGTCATACAAGGAGCTCTCGTGGGTGGGTCCTTGCTTGGGCGGCTTCCCCGTCGGCTTTGGCTTCATTTTCCTCTATAATGCCGCCAACAACTATCTGGTCGACTCGTACCAGCACCTGGCGGCCTCGGCCCTTGCGGCCAAGACTTTTATCCGCAGCTTCTGGGGCGCCGGCGTGGTGCTCTTTACCATTCAAATGTACGATCGTCTCGGCGACCAGTGGGCCAGCAGTCTTCTGGGCTTCATTGGCCTCGCCTGCTGTGCCATCCCCTTTTGCTTCTGGAAATGGGGTGCTCAGATTCGGCGGAGGTCCAAGTACGCCTATGCTGGCGAAGATGAGGAGGAGGACGGCAAAGGCATCGCCAGCCGTGGTGATGTTGAGAAGGGACAAGGGGACGCTGGCCATTGAGCCGTTTGAAGGAGTGCGAGATATAAAATTGGTGTTTGAAAAGAGTTCAGAGGCACTTTCTCTACATGTTGAACAGTTTTAGACTGATAGAAAGAGATGGCAGAGTTGAGCCGGGTTGTGTGGGACATGAGAAATCATGTCAATAGACTAGTTGTTTTGTTTTTGTAATCATAGAAAAGAGATACCCCGGCGGGCTGCAGATCTAGACAAAGATAATAGACGATAATCTGACAGTAAAATTATAGAAATTACATGGCTCAAGTACGGATACGCATCAATCATTTGTTTACAATGATACCAGTCATGTACGTGGCTTGCCCCAAGCAGCATTGTAGCTGTACTTTACAAATCATTGTAATGCGAGTGACAAGACGCGGTTTATCCAAGACAATTATTGGCAAGAATTGAGCTTGTTTATTTGACTTAATTTTAAAACGGGTATCAAATAGCCTGAAATTATACACTCTCGATCCTCTGCACCACAATTGCCGACGCGGCACCGCCTCCGTTGCAGATGGCTGCGACACCATACTCGCCCGGCTTGAGCTGGTGAAGCAATGTCGTGAGAATGCGCGAACCCGAGCTGCCCAGGGCATGACCAAGAGAAATGGCGCCTCCGAGGGGGTTGACCTTGGCACCTTCTAGTCCCAGGATCTTGAGTAATGTTAGTATTATTGACTTTATCTGGATATAATAGTAAAGGATATAAACACACCTTTTCATTGGCCTTGATAACAGCCGCAAAGGCCTCGTTGAATTCCCAGATCGCTACTTGATCCTTGGTGATGCCGGCGCGCTCCAGAGCGATCGGAACGGCCTTGGCCGGGGCCACGGGAAAGTCGACGGGGTCAATGGCGGCATCGGCAGAGCCACATATCCTGGCCAATACTCTCGATCCGGCTCCGTACTGCTGCGCAATGGCCTTGCTGCCGAGCACCAGCGCGCTGGCGCCGTCGTTTAGCGTGGACGAGTTGGCAGCCGTGACGGTACCGGTACCGTCGCGAATAAAGGCGGGTTTCAGGGTCGGGACCCTGTCGAGCTTGATGTCAAGGTAGCCTTCGTCAGTGTCGATAATCGTATCGCCCTTCCTACCCTTGACAGTCACTGGGGCGATCTCGTCTGCAAAAACCTTGTCCTTCCAAGCAGCTTGTGCCCTCTCATATGACTGGATGGCGTATTGGTCCTGCTGTTCGCGGGTGATTTCGTACTTCTTTGCCGTTGTCTCGGCGCAGATGCCCATGTGAAACTGGTCATAAACATCCGTCAAACCGTCCTTGATCAGACCATCTTCCATCTTGACGTGACCAAACGCTGGCAGGCTGCTGGACCGGGGAACGTAGTATGGAACCTGTGACATGTTTTCCATACCGCCGGCAATTTGCACCTCACTCAGGCCGAGCTGGATGTTTTGTGCCGCGAACACCACGGCTTTTAAACCCGAAGCGCACACCTTGTTGATAGTAATGGCCTCCACGCTCGAGGGCAGTCCAGCGAATATTGACGCCTGTCGTGCCGGAGCCTGTCCAACATTTCCTTGTAACACATTGCCCATGTATACATCCGTCACTTTCTCGACCGGGACTTTGGACTTTTCGAGGGCGGATTTGATCGCGACTGCGCCCAGCTTGGGTGCGGATACTGTGAGAAAAGAGCCATTAAACTGAAAGATATGTTAGTATTCGATTCCAAGAATAGAAATCAAAACATTCAATCACCTACCTTTGCTGTGGGCGTCCGCGAGGCACTGAGAATATACGCATCGCGAATTTCTTGCCTCAGACAAGTCTGGGCTGAAAAGTGGCGTGCCGAGCACTGCCGAGGTCCATTGCGCAGGATGGTCCTGGCAGCTGGTCGCATTGATTGAAGAACCATGTCGTCAAACTCCAGCAGCAGTATTTGGCAGCGACAAGAAAAGTAAACAGGTCGAATTGCAGATGGTATAAGTTGAGCAATGGAAGAGAACAAGTTCTACAAGATGGTTTATATGGCGGAATCGGCTTCGGTGTAAGCTGGATAGACCCAACTTCCCCGGTAACTTGAGCTCCATTCCCACCTCCACCGGTTAGACGCGGGGCTAGTCCGGCCCCACGGTTTGGAATGACGCGGGAGTTTGGTCCATTTGTCCAGCATCACCCGCGGGTCTGGCACGTGTAAATGTGCTTGGTGTGTTTTTGTACCGTGCACACTCTTGGTAATGCGTACTGTGATCAAAATTGCAAAACGTGCTTTGCACAATCTAGTATGCATGCACTTATTACACTGCACTAACTAGGCGGTCCCCCTGCCTCTGGAGCGCACTTCTGCACCTGGTACTGGTGTAATCGTGCCGGGCTGCCGGGGGACAAACCGCTGAAAGCGCCATCGCTTCGGCTCTGGGCTTTGGCTGGGTAGGGATCATCTCCCATATTCGAGTAGTCGCAGCGATGGCGCCACGGGAGCAGAATAGTCTTCAAGCTAGCGAGACAACGAGAAAGTTTCCATGAGCCTCTCGAACCTTGCAGGGTCCAAGAGGGTTAGTCTGGACATGACCTAGGAACAGATCGCCGTTGAATGAAAGGTCTTGATTAATCGTAAATCCACAGCATAAAGACACAACGGGAAATGTGACGTGTATTCACAGACGGAATGATCGTGACAAGACCCAACAATACACGACGGTGATGCCAGCACTGCCGTCTGCCCCAATTTGGCCCGGACTCAAGACGGAAATTCGGTCGAATTAAAACAAAAGATCTCCGACTGCAATAAGGCGGCGATGATGGAATTGCTTTTCTCGCGTCTCACGAGACGGACTGGAGGGCGCGAGCAAAGCGGACACGACCTGGGCAAGGTTCCGATTGATGAACGCCAGGGTTCGTGAAGCGCACGCCGCACATCGTGTCTGCAGGTCAACCAGCGTCAAGGGTCTTAGATTAGGTGGGCTTGGTGGGCTGCCACATGGGCGTCGTCGAAAGTCTTCAGGCTTCCCCGACCAGGGCCAACCCTTAACCGCGTCAGAATGGTCATGTACAGTACTCGCTTGGCCCATGTGCAAGAGGGTTCGTTTTGTTTGCTCTCAACTTTGTGGCTTTTGCTGCTGGGCTGCTGCTGCTGTGGGATAATGAATTGAGTGAGCGACTGAGGAATGGTGTATGTGATTTTATTTCTTTTTCATCTGTCTTCTTGTCCTCCACCGTGACCGGACAACATTAGGGCTGGACTTTTTTTTTGAGGTGACGCCTTGCGGCTGTCAGAAATCCTTCTTCTGATCATTCTCGAAGGACGAAATAAGGCAATGACCAGCACTAACCTAGCTTGTTTAAATGTGACCCCAGAGAAAAACGCGGCACGGTCGTCAACGGCATCATTGGCTGGAATATTACAAGGCCCATGATATATTAATCCCGAAGCGATTGCTGTTTCCCGGCCATACTTCTTGGCCTGTCTCAACAGCATTCCATCCACTGCCACGACGAAGGATACAGTCTTACTATCCTTTATTTCTTTTTCATCGTTCCCTCCCAACCGCCCCTCTGTTTTCTCTCCTGTCCTCTCCCATGGTGAGTCCGACAGAGATTGTGCGCCGGTTCCAATGAGCTCCCAAATTCCGCACACAGGGGCAGATGCTCATCTAGACCTTCGCCGAGATAGCGCCATCTCGGCCGTCTCATACCAGTCCGTCTCGTGAGCGCGCCCAGCACCCCTCGAACTGGTTGGATTTAGATGCTGAGTTCAAGGCATACAGGACCTTGACCGAGTCGATCAACAGCGACAGCCCAGTTTTCCGAGTTGTCGAGGAGAACGGAAGAACGTATCATTCATACAAGCAAGGACGTATGTATCAATTCTCTCTGGCATGTGTCTTGGGCCGCGGCGCTGACCATGGCGCTCCCATATTGTGAACAGGCTATCCTCTTCCAAACGACACAGTACGTCGCCGCAGAGGTTGCTGATCAGGAACGCGCAAATGCTGATTTTCCGCCCCCAAAACAGCGAGAGCAAAACAGGTCCGGTAAGAAAGACTGATCCTTCTTCGGCTGCCTCCGGGTTCTGCGATTGCTTACATTTTGTCATGATTGGACAGCTATCGAACATGAGTTGTGGCGCAAAACCCTGAGGGGCAAACTGTTCCTCTCGCCTATTGAGAAGCTAGACCATGTTCTAGATATCGGCACAGGCACGGGTGAGTATGGTCACTTGAAAGTGACGAACTCTTCCGACACGAGACTGACTTTTGTTTTCCTACCAGGACTATGGGCGTTTGAGATTGGTTGGTTGACAAATCATGTATACACGAGGAGCTCTTATTCGGCTGACCATTCACCCATCTAGCCTTGACGCATGCCAATTCTCAGGTAATCGGTACTGATTTAAGTCCGATACAGCCATCATAGTGAGTCTCTTTCCATGTGTGGGTGCCGCTACCAATCAATGTCTCCCCAATCTTGAGTCGCCTACTCTTGAGCTGACACGAATCGTTGTAGCATTCCAACAAATTGCCAGTTTGAAATCGACGACGCTGAAGACGAATGGCTTTACCGCCAAAAGTTTAGCCTCATACACAGTCGCGGTAATCATCTATCTTTCCAGTCACCAGAGACGGTCGTATCAAGTGCATTCAACGCCCTTGCCAGACATGGTTGGTTTGAATCGCAGGACATTGTGCTTCCTTTGAAATGCGATGACAACAGTTGGGAAGGCAGTGCCATCCAGAAATGGAACAATGTGATTACAGAATGTTTCCTCCTAAGCGGCAGGAGATCGTACGTGGAAGAGTACGCACAAATGTTTCGCGACGTCGGCTTGGACAATGTGACGGAAAGATTATTCGTTTGGCCAGTAAGCCCTTGGCCACAAGGGCCACGAAATCAACATTTGCGAGAGCTGAGCCAAATTGCTCGCCGGAACCTGTTGGAGGGTCTCGAGGCCTTTAGCATGGTCTTATTCACGAGATACGCCAATATGAGCAAGGACGAGGTATTAAATCTTGTGCAAAATGCCAAGGACGATTTCTGGGATCCAAAATATCACGTTTATATGCAGGTGTAAGTTGTCAACTCAACAATCGAGTTCGATAGCCTCGAAAAACTGACAATGTTTTATTAGTGTTGTCACCATGGGGCAGAAGCCTTGAGCTGGCCGGATTCGTTCTCGATCATGATTCACAAGCGAGCGAGCGACTTTGGCAGTCAGAAATCTTTTGTGATGGGAACCAGGTTTTTGTTCTCATGCCTCTTTGTCTTCTTTTCATTCACTCTAGGCTCGGCGTTTCGGAGTTTCTGTTAGCATTGTGTCTTTCCGGGTTTGTCAAATGCCTGAACAGCTGGGCTCTGTTCAAACACAGTGACATTGGATTGGCATATCAGCATTAGCGCTCAAGAATCAAATCACTTCGTTTACCCATGAATCAAAATGTGTTGGAGGGTCGTAAATTACCCCTCGGATTCTATAACCTGCATGCTATTCTTCTGGCGATGCTCGAGAAATGTTATACCCGCGACTATTTAGTACCTTGATTTAGGTCCCCTGCATCTTACAGGTCAGTAGGCAGTTAGTACAGGTAGTGATCAACATGCCTGGTTGAGATGTGGGGCCAACGGTGTCCAAATGACCTTTGCAAGCCGGCGCCTCTGCCCCTCGCCCTTCGCCCCCAGACGCTGCCGTCGGAAGAACTACACTAACCTAGTACTGACTGACCTTGCTAGTAATCCTTCACAAGCCTAAACCATCACGCAACATCTTCCAAGAGCAACTTCCCCATCCATCCTCTTGCAGGACTTTAGTCATAACAGCCTCCGGCATATCAAAACCCAGATCGTTGCTGTACCTTTATATATTCAACATGTCCACTGCAGCACGTCGACGGTTGATGCGTGACTTCAAGGTAGGCGTCTGACGAGTTACTCCCGATTGCGGCTTGGATGTTGGCCGTCCAGAGTTGTGAAGCTAATCGAGCTCTGCAGCGCATGCAAACCGACCCTCCCGCCGGTGTTTCCGCATCTCCTGTCCCCGATAATGTCATGACATGGTATGTCATTCACAAGGAACGATATTCTCGAATCGATATACTAGACCAGAGTCCCAAAGACTGACCCAGGATGTCAAATGCTACAGGAATGCCGTCATAATAGGCCCTGCCGATACACCATTCGAGGACGGCACCTTTAGACTCGTGATGCACTTTGAGGAGCAGTACCCCAACAAGCCTCCCGCTGTCAAGTTCATCAGCCAAATGTTCCACCCCAACGTCTACGCGACCGGAGAGCTTTGCCTCGATATTTTGCAGAACCGATGGAGTCCCACATATGACGTCGCTGCTGTCTTGACGAGTATCCAGAGGTAAGCATCCGACCCATCCGGTGAACGTCCAAGACGCGGCGCCCATTGGGGATACTGGGCCTTGAAAGCTAACCGTACATGCCAGTCTGCTCAACGACCCAAACACCGGCTCTCCAGCCAACGTTGAGGCATCCAACTTGTACAAGGATAACCGCAAGGAATACACGAAGCGCGTGCGAGAGACGGTCGAGAAGAGCTGGGAGGACTAATTGCGTTTCCAAATTCTTGCAGAGCAAAAGACTCGCTTGGATAACATGCTAATTTCCTTCGAGGATGGCGGTTATGAAACAGACGGCAATTACCACCATGGCAACGTGGATCGACGTTTGACTCCGAGATCCCACTGCTGGATCTCGAGAGCCAACAAATACAGTCTTGGGACATACAGAGAGGAACGGGCCACCGGCGAATATTTGATTATTCACAAAGTCACAGTTGAGGCGTAGGCGTTTTTGACAGGATTGCACATGGCAGCAGTATTCTCTTTTCTCCTTTCGTGGCATAGTCTTTGGTCAGCTGCTGTTTGACAGTACAGAAAGCCTACGGTAATGTATTTCTTGTCGTTTTGTGGTCTGGCTGCGAAAAGTCGCATAGCTGATGGCGTTTTGATGACGATCTCTGGATTTTCGAGTACAAAGATAGTAAAGCAAAAGAGACTGATCTCAAGAGCAAGAAGATTGATTTTCTGAACTCAAATGGATCATAGCGTCAAGGACATGATTTTGCCCACATGCACTCCTCATCATTAAGCATGGCCAAGTGCTTGGGGTATATTGCGGCGGAAATGAATGACAATTATGCGGAGTTTACCTCTTAATCTGCTTATACATGCTTGTTATGCCTCTCTCCTGCTGGACTCGGATTTTGTGTAGTCAATCTTGGTAAAAATACATTCTCGAGGGTTCTCTATTCCATAGAATGCCTTTACATCTACTTACGCACATGGGTCTCTCGGAATAGAGTCATGCATACTGGCCCAGGAGAATTTATACAGGAAAGTTTATTTTTGCAAGTATGCTATAATGTACAGACATTGCCTACATAAGTAGCGAGGTACATCCTCATCCACGAGGCGGGAGGACGCACAACCACAACGGCATGCAACCACTTCACGCGCGAACCAGCAGCAAGCATTGACGTTGTGAGATTGGTAGTGCTGACGTACCATTTGCCGGGCCTCTTGTAGACCTGGGTACATTACATTGTAGTAGTGTTGTAGGGACGGACAGCGCGATCCCAGCTCGCCCATCTGCCTGACCCAAAAACCCACCTGCCCGCCTAGACCAACTGCCCCTAATTTTCTGATTCGCTCCCCTACCATCTCTGCAGCCTGGCACCACACCTTAATTGCTTAGTGACCGACGCGGTTGTTGGGATGTTCCCCTGATCCAGGCGTTGCACCGTAACTGGCTAGATAACTGACAAGCACAAACTTTCAAAATGCAAACAGAACGCCAGTGCCTTGATCATTTGGTATCAACGTTGTAGGCCAAGTATAGAAAGTCAAAGCAGTCAGTTCCAAAGATCAAAAGAGCACCAGGAAGCCCCTCAAATCAAAAAGTAGCAAGGTACATGGTAGCGGGGGTTCAAGTTCGAGTAATTGGGACCCTGCTTGCACACCGACTCACTGTTGCTGGCGTTGCCCACTCGCCCGCTGCCAGACCAAAAAATCGAGTGCCCACTTAGGGAACACGCTTGGGGGGTGAAAGTTAGGGAAGAGAGGACGAGACGAGACGCCATTCTCGCGAAGCGGGACATATCAACAACTAAACTGGACTCCATCCTTCCCTGCCCTGCCCAAACAACACCAAACAACAACTCAAGACCCTTATTACTCTTTCATGCCCTACTGGCCAGCTCGCCTGGTCGGTTGAGCCTAGTTCTGTTGTTGTTGTGATTCCTCTTTTCCACTTCTTTCCCTGCCCGACTGGCCTGTTTCTCCCAAGCCACGGCCACGTCACATGCAAAGCGAGAGGAGCGTGCTATGAGATAGACACCTCCCCAACCCTTTTTCTCTCCTTGCTTCTTTTTTTGTAAACCCGGCTTGCCACCACCGAGGACGCTGCAGAATCAGTCGCCATGTCGGGCGCAAACACCATCAAGGTCGTTGCCCGTTTCCGGCCGCAGAACAAGGTCGAACTTGCGTCTGGCGGCCAGCCTATCGTCTCTTTCAATGGCGACGACACTTGTAGTCTCAGTGTACGTGAAGCTCGCTCGCTGGCTCTCACCAGCAAATCTTGCCAGCTCCTATTCCTTTGCTGCAAAGAATAATCACTAACGCCAATCTTTGCATATAGTCTGCCGAGGCACAGGGCTCCTTCACCTTTGATCGCGTATTTCCTATGGGCACCCAACAAGCAGATATCTTTGATTACTCCATTCGGTCTACGGTCGACGATATTCTCAACGGCTACAATGGAACGGTCTTTGCGTACGGTCAGACGGGTGCCGGAAAGTCTTACACCATGATGGGAACGAGCATAGAGGACGACATGGGCAAGGGTGTGACCCCCCGTATCGTGGAGCAGATTTTCAGCAGTATCATGTCCAGCCCAGCCAACATTGAATACACTGTCCGGGTCAGTTATATGGAAATCTACATGGAGCGCATCCGCGATTTGCTCCAGCCGCAAAACGACAACCTTCCTGTGCACGAGGAGAAGAATAGGGGTGTATACGTCAAGGGACTTTTGGAGCTCTACGTGTCGAGTGTTCAGGAAGTGTTCGAGGTCATGACAAGAGGAGGAAATGCTCGAGCTGTCGCTGCGACCAACATGAACCAGGAATCCTCGCGTTCGCATTCCATTTTCGTCATCACCATCACCCAGAAGAATGTCGAGACTGGTTCGGCCAAGAGTGGCCAGCTGTTCTTGGTTGATTTAGCTGGTAGTGAAAAGGTTGGCAAGACTGGTGCCAGTGGCCAGACTTTGGAAGAGGCCAAGAAGATCAACAAGAGTTTGAGTGCTCTTGGTATGGTCATCAATGCCTTGACCGACGGCAAATCCTCACATATCCCGTACCGAGACTCCAAGTTGACGAGAATCTTGCAAGAATCGTTGGGAGGAAACAGCAGAACAACCCTCATCATCAACTGTTCGCCGAGTAGTTACAATGATGCTGAAACGCTCAGTACCCTCCGTTTTGGTATGCGAGCCAAATCCATCAAGAACAAGGCCAAGGTCAATGCCGAACTCAGCCCTGCAGAGCTCAAGGCCATGCTCAAAAAGTCGCAAACCACCATATCAAGCTTTGAAAACTGGGCTTCAGCTGCAGATGGCGAGCTGCAGCTCTGGCGCGCAGGTGAAAGTGTGCCCAAGGACAAGTGGGTTCCGGCATTTGGCACTGAAGGTGTCGCTGCTGCAAAGCCTGAAGCAAAGGCGCCTAGACCCGGAACTCCGTCCCGGTTGATCACGGAAAGCCGTGCCGAGACGCCAGCCCTTACTGAACGTTCGGGCACTCCCAGCATCCCTCTGGATAAGGACGAGAGAGAGGAGTTCCTCCGAAGAGAGAATGAACTGCAAGATCAGCTGGCCGAGAAGGAGTCGGCCGTGGCCACGGCCGAAAAGAACTATGCAGAGTCCAAGGAGGAGCTTTCTTTCCTCAAGGATCATGACAGTAAACTCGGCAAGGAGAACGAAAAGCTCACAACAGAGGTCAATGAGGCCAAGATGCAGCTCGAGCGTCTCACGTTTGAGAGCAAGGAGGCTCAGATTACCATGGACGCCTTGAAGGAAGCCAACTCTGAGCTCACCACAGAGTTGGACGAGGTCAAGCAGCAATTGCTGGATGTCAAGATGAGTGCAAAGGAGACTACTGCCATTCTGGACGAGAAGGAGAAGAAGAAGGCAGAGAAGATGGCTCAAATGATGGCTGGCTTCGACCTGGGTGGTGATGTCTTTAGTGAAAACGAGGCGGCCATCGCAAAGGCTATCCAGCAGGTGGAGGCCTTTTATGAGCACAGCTCCTCGGGCGACATTATTCCAACGGACGATTTGCAAGATCTCAAGAACAGACTGGTCGAGACCCAGGGAATAATTCGCCAAGCCGAGCTCTCACTTTACAGCACTTCATCCGGAGACAGCGACGCTCGCCGTAGAGCTGAACTGGAGGCACGCCTCGAGAAAATGCAGCAGGACTATGAGGACCTTTTGGCAAGGAATCTGAGCGAGGCCGATACCGAGGAGATCAAGGAGCGTCTCAAGGAGGCTTATGCCAACAAACAAACAACTCAAATGGAGCTTGCCGATGAGCTCAAGGTCGACATTGCCCAAAAGTCTGCCGAGAATTCTCGGATGAAGACTCTCATTGACGACCTGCAAACGCGTCTCAAATCTGGTGGCGGTGCCGCAACCCCCGGTCTGGCCAACGGCAAGACTGTGCAGCAACAGATTGCCGAGTTTGACGTCATGAAGAAGAGTCTGATGCGTGATCTGCAGAACAGATGTGAGCGCGTTGTCGAGCTCGAGATCAGCCTTGATGAGACACGAGAGCAGTACAACAATGTATTGAGATCCTCCAACAATCGCGCTCAGCAGAAGAAGATGGCCTTCCTTGAGCGTAACCTTGAGCAGTTGACTCAAGTGCAACGCCAGCTCGTCGAGCAAAACGGCGGACTCAAGAAGGAGGTTGCCATTGCTGAGCGCAAACTCATTGCCAGAAACGAGCGCATTCAGAGCTTGGAAAGCCTGCTGCAAGACAGCCAAGAGAAGCTCACCGCGGCTAACCATAGGTATATACATCTGCCCTCAAAAACGTTTGTTGCGATTGCTAACAATGGAAATAGATTCGAATCACAACTCACGGCCGTCAAGGAACGCCTCGAGGCCGCAAAGGCCGGCTCCACCCGTGGGCTCGGTGCTCCTGCCGGCAACGGTGGCTTCAGCTTTGGAAGCCGCATCGCCAAGCCTCTGCGTGGTGGCGGTGACGGCCCTGGACAAGGCCCAACCATTGCAAACTTGCAAAACGAGAGCGGCGCTAGTAAGAGAAGCAGCTGGTTCTTTAACAAGTCGTAGGCCGATGAGGACACGGATCGCCACAATGATCGTGAGAAGAACAGAAACCGCCTTCAGCCCGGCTCATGCGTGCGGAAGCCAAGATAGACCGTTGATGGATATATAAGGAGTTCTCTCATGAGGTCTGCAGCGCTGCAGCAGCCCTTGGTGTGAGCTGGATTAGACTTATGGTGCAAACTAGACCCAGGTCGGAAGCTTATACCCTGCGCCTTACAACGTCTTTTACCTCCTGTACTTGATATTTTACTATGGATCTTTTGTTTTGGGGCCATGGGCGGCTACTCGCGAGACGACCGATCACGCCCGAGATGAAACGAAATGCATAATTTCGGTCAGCTCAGCATCGGGCTATAATGAAGAATGTCGAGATCAAACTCGTATGAACGAGGTCTTGGGAAACTCAGCAATGGCCTCTATCGGAGGGGCTTTGGATATGGTTGAACGAATAATGTATCCTCTTGCATGCGTTACGGTCGTCAAATGTCTATAGATGAGAAGAATAGAAGAATAAGATAAGAGTGAATTGTTCAATGCCACCCGTATACGCATGAGCTGCCTGGGTCAGGTACATGCAAACAATTACGCCTTCTGTCAGAGAATCAAGTACAAATTCAGTACCCTGTGACTTTGCGTGCAATTTATAAGGAATTTTTGGACGTCTTGAAAACTTGTAGAACTGATTTTGTATTATGCAATCAGCAATACGAGGTAATAGATGTCAAAGAAATGTGCCTAGCCGGGATCATAGGCGAGATTGTACAGAGTACTTGGCATCAAGTCCAGCCAGGTCCCCGCCAACCTTAAATCTACCTACCTAATGTACTTACCCCAGTGACGCCCATAACTTGTAGAACCAGCCAAGCTTTAATCACCTTTCTCTCCTCAACTACATCCTTTTTGTTCCATTTTTGGCATGATCGCGGTTGGCTACATTATCAAATCACGAGCGTAGCGGCCGACGCATATTTGCTGTCATTCATCAAGTTTAGTACGACGCCATTGTTACCACACGAGCAATCCTCCAAGATGGCGGACAACAAGCAACACAAGTACCGGCAGGAGATCCAGCAGATGATGTATGTCTCTGGCGAGACGGGCGAGCCCTCGACCGAGACGACGGCCATGATTGAGGAGATTGTACGACAACAGGTCATTGAGATGTTGCGCAACTGCACCGAGCTCGCAGCGCGCCGCGGCGCCCGATCCATCACCATCAACGACCTCATCTTCCAGATCCGCGACGATGCGCCCAAGGTCAGCCGGCTGCGGACCTTTCTTAGTTGGAAGGACGTGCGCAAGAATGCCCGCGACAGCGACGAAAAGGGCGGCGACGTTGAGCTCGGCGTCGATGATGCGGCGGGCCCCGCGGGCGCAGGCATGCCGGGCGGTGCCGGCCCCGTGGACGAGGCGGCCAAAAAGAACAAAAAGGCAAAAGTCAAGCTTCCCTGGGAGCCCGGCAGCTTCTACAGCCAGGAGCCGCCCGAGCGCGACGACGAGGAGGACGAGGAGGAGGAAGAGCTCAACTTTATCACGCTGGAGCGGCTGCGCAAGGCCGACGAGCGCACCAAGGCCATGACGCGCGAGGAGTACGTGACGTGGTCCGAATACCGCCAAGCGTCCTTTACCTACCGCAAGGGCAAGCGGTTCCGTGAGTGGGCTGGGTTCGGCGTGGTGACGGATAGCAAGCCTTCAGACGACATTGTCGACATTCTGGGCTTTCTCACCTTTGAAATGGTCCAGACCCTCACCGAGGAAGCCCTGCGCATCAAGGAGCAGGAGGACCTTTGGAAGGAGCGGACCGGCGGCGACAATAACAACACCAAAAAGCGAAAGCTCGCCCCCGGTGGCCTCTTTGATCCCCCGAGTGAGGGCAAGACGCCCGTCGAAAGCCGGCATATCCAGGAGGCCTTTCGCCGCCTCCAAACTCGATCCAAGAAGAGTCGCGCCATGCTGAATGGCACGAGGCTGCAACAGCGCACAAATTTGAGACTCTTCTAATGAAGGAGACGTGATGGGAATGGCCTATACCTTAGCTGTCCTGCGGTTGGATAGCTGGGCCGGATCTGGATTGGTATGGCCATTGGATCGATATGCTCAAGAAAGTATGGCTTGTATTTTCTCAAGACATTTTTCTCTTGATAGGCTTCCGAGAACCCGCTGTTCCCGATTGGATAGTGTCTGGAGAAGAGAGCGCAGAGTCTTGTACTATTCATGGGGTGGCTGGATAGACAGACATGATCATGGTTTGGCGTTTGGGAAGGAATCTTGACGATACCCAACATTGGAATGTGGAGTTCAGGTTTGCTTTGTGTTTAGGTGGACGATATTATTGTTTATGTAGTCTATGGATATTGCAAATAATGCTCGGAGCCCCAAACAAAACTCGCTACAGACATTTTATGGTCAAATCATGGACCCTTTAACTAACCCAAGCATATACCAATTTCATGCTCTTCTCCAACCCTCGAACCCCCTTCCCCTCCAGCCCCAGGCGACCACGTAGTGACTAGCAAGCAACTCCCACTCCTCAACCTCGTCCAGGCCTTCGAGGTTATCGACGGCCTCCTTATCTTTGGAGGAGATCCAGCTAGTCCAGATGTCCTGCACAGTAAGTGCCTCGGCCCCGTCCACAAACCCCGCCTGCCGCAGCCGCGCCTTTTGGTCCGCAATCTCGCGGTACACCTCGAGTGTCGGCATACGAATTCGGCGCGCCGCCAGGTTTGATACCATTTGCTGCCCAAAGGGATCCGACGGGCGCACCGGCTCGTAGAGAACCACGGCCAGGTTGGGCACAAGCGAGGTAAAGTGGGAGATGACGGCGCGTGCTTGCAATGTTTCCAGGTAGCAGAGGCAGCACTCGGAGATGACAAGGGTGGGAACATTGGTCTCTATGCCGCCGAGCTTCAAGACAGGTGGCTTCTGCTGCCCTTGTTCCGGAGTCAATGATGGTGGTGCTGTTTCTGACCGGGCGATATCCCGGAGGTCGAGACCGTGGCAGTAGTAGGAGCAGCCATTAGGTAGGGCCTCGTTACGCCAGCTGCTATCGTCGTTGCCCGAGGGCGGGATGATGCTACGCAGTGCGGGCACCGCCTGGACTGTTGTCCGCTTCTTGGCTGTTATAGCTGGAAAGTCAACCTCGTGATAGATGACATCCTGCACACCGGCCCCGTGCGGTTGCGAAAAGAGCCGAAAGGGCCGCGTATCGGTACCTGCGCCCAGGGAGATGATTTGTTTCTTTGATCCAGTGCCCGTGCTGCCGTCTCTGGCTAGAAAGGAAGAAACCAACTTGTCCAGGGCTGTGGTCCGAGTATAAGTTCCTAGTCCATGTTGTTTAGCAACAAATATACTTCTAGAGAAACTCCGTGTCAAACAGTCTCACCTCGATTGATGATGGGTAGCCTCCTTACCGGCGGACCACTCTGCTGCACAAAGTACTGTGCAAAGGGATCCTGAAGGTAGCCGAGCTCCACGGCGCTCAGCCGCGAGACGGAGGCGTCCGTGTCTGTCCCTTGGATGGTTGCATCGTGACTATGACTTGTGGCGGGGCTCACGAAACCACCACCCCGCGACCTGCCCCCGGCGCCACGGCCCCGGAGACCACCACCTCTGCCGCGGAGGGACAAGAGGTTGGGAATCTGGGGAGCCGACATACCCCTTGATATTCGCCTGTCTGCGAGAATTTGCGTGGTTGTGAATAAAGAAGCAAGTGTTTGGTGCTGAGAGTTACTGCGGATTGGCTGGTTATGATGAAAGAGGACGTTTGCGCGGGAGGCTGATATATAACGGACTTGCACAAGTCAAACGGTGAGTAATCAGGTGTAGGTGGAATTATGCATCTACGATTCGAACTCTGCTGTGTTTTCTTTTGTATGATGCTACCAGATACTGTCGAGAGTCGAGACGTGCCAGCAATTCCCAGTGGGGGCTAATGAGCCAATAAGGGAACTTGCCAGAAAGACGCCACCATTTTTAGCACTCGTTCTCGTACTTGACATCTGTATCATATAACCTTGATGGTGCGGGCCTTTGCTCCAAATACCAGCACTTTACATTATGCCGTTCTTGTTCTGCAATTTCCAGCTTGATTGGCCAAATTCAAGTATAGGCCGATTCTCAGGGTTTTATACTAGAACTTCTCATGTCTTCTTTGATGAGGGCTTTATTGTCCTGGGAGCGACATGACACAAGTTTGGCTCATCTGCTCCTACTTGGGCAGTTGAAGTCGGTTCTTGAAAGGCATGTGAATAAAGATTTCGGTATTGTTGAAGAGTAGTTGGTCGCCAAGTACACACAAGGCACGCAACCTTTATATCTCCCCATGATTGCCAATCCACGGGTAGCATGTCGATTGCCGCTGGATGTTGAAGTATGAATAGCGCTGAGCCGAGATATCTTCACGGTAAGGCTTCAAACACAATGCTCCAATGTAAATACTCTCTGGATTTTCAATTCATTCAACAGTCACTTCCAGACTTGCTCGTTCCCGTAGGTCCATGTTCAATATTTGATACAGTCCTAGCCCGAATCATCATCTCCAAGAAAGCCTGGACCCTTGTTTAATGTATTCTCCTTGTGCCAAGGAAATGGTACGGTGATTGCAACCGAAAGAGTGGGGTATTTCTACACTTAAAATAGTCTGGTGTATTTGATATTTAGCGCGACGGAGTGGCGCCGCCTGTAGGCCGATGCAAGCACTAAAGTATCGTCAGACTCGGACCCGACAAGTCAAGGCATCTTTCTCGGCAATAAAAAAAGATGGGCTGTTTGGTTGTCGTAGGCATGATATTGAGCTTGATGAGGACATTTTCATTCTCTTATCAAGATTGACTATTCGCCTGGTGCAGTCATTACCAAAGTCATGGAAGACTAAATTACATTGACAAGCGGAAGCCAGCTGTCTTTTGCCACAAATGGCTGTGTGGTAAGGCTGAACCAACAAGGGACTGCAGAATTGGCGATCGACAGATGCTCATTACTTTCGAGTGAAACACTTGGGCTTCGGCAGACGATATAGATCAACAAAAAGTCGACAATCTTGAGTGATTGACGATGCAGCCGTTTCATTGGATGACATATGCAACATACTTGCATTCGCTTGGGGGCAATGAGTGCGTTAACCTCTGACTTCATCTTCAGTACCTAGGCAAGGTACTTTGAACGTACCATGTTCTTGTCTGTCGAGGGTTGAATTCAACCAAAAGCCTTACCCACCAGCGCATGGAGATCTTCACAAAGGATGGGTATCCATCGCGAGCATCACCATGCCTTGAACAGATTGAGCTTTTTGCTCATTCATGAGAGGGCAAGATGATAAGACTGCAGTCGTCCACAACGGCCATTGCAAGATCCCGTAAGCCCGTTCAATCCGAATAGTGCCCAGGAGGTTTTCACTGGTTCGGGGCGCTTGACAGTTCAGGCCTGGCGCATCGAGCCGCTGCAGGCCCAAGAGGCTAGACCGGATTAGAGCCAACAGAGACGTGCAACAGGAAGGATTTGGGGCAGTGCTTCGCCGCTGCTGCCTTGTCTCTGCCTGGCCCTCCCTGTAATACCTGGGCCTGCCTGTGCCCCAAACAGGGTATTGAAAGGTATCTTGCAGATAGAACAGGGGTAAGAGACGCCTGTTTGGGGCGATTAACAGGTCACTAACGCACACCTTAAATGGAGCTGAGCAATCCCCGGGGCCCATTCACTCTTTCATTTTCATCATTCCCGCATACGAATCCACTTGTTAGGTACCTGCTTTGAAGGTTTCTTAAATAAGACGTTGAGCCGCTGTCCCGGGTGCCCGTCGATTACACACTTTATTCTACTTTTCATACTTTGGCGGCTGCTTTGTTTTACTGCCACGAGGGAAAAAGCATTCATCCCTTCTTACATCTTGCCACTACATTCCTTCTTTTGAACATTTTCTATTACAAACTCAATTCTTGTTTCCTAATAACCTGAACCCGTCCCTTTCAAAATGTATCGGGACATTGCTACGCATGTCTACAGGCGTGCTGTTGAAGACGATGCCGTCTATCAGTTGCCCGGCTGGGCTTTCGGAATTGCGCTGCTAGATGTCATCATCTTTCTGCCCTTTATCCTGGTCGTTGGCTACACCTTCCAGAATGTCTTTCCCGTCATCGCCATGATTGAGGACCCTTCGCCTCCCGCTTACGAACCCGTCTCTCTAAACGCCGAAACCGAATCCCTGGCCGAGGACAATGCCCCCATCGCCGACGAGGCCGCTCGTGCTGGCCAGGACACCCGCGCCATCAGCTCCAGCTTCCGCAGCCTCCACCGCACCATGACTGGCATCTCTGGCTGGAAGTCCTACTTCCGTGGCCTTGCCTGCTGGGCCGCCCTGACCGTCTCCACCATGTTTGTCTACGGTATCGTCAGTGCCCTGCCCTTCATTCCTGCCATTGTGGCCGCCATGATCTCTGCAGTCGCCCTCGTCCAGCTATACTGTGCCTGGCTGCACATTGTCATCTCGACTCCCTCCGAGAAGCGTTTCTACCAGCGTCTTCCCCCCTTCAAGAAGGCATTCCAAGCTTGCGCCTTGCCCACAGTCATCTACTTTCTTGCTTTGGAGTTCCACTCCTGGGTTCCCAAGTTCTTGATTGGTGTCTTGGGCATGACCACCTACGACCCTTCGAACCCGACTCAGGTCCCTCAGCCTTCCCCTAGTGACTCGTGGAAGGGCTTCCTCGTCTTCCTTGTCACCATGGCTCTCACCGTCTTTGTCACTATCCCAGCCCACGTGGTCCTGACCCGTACCCAGGCCTCCCTCCTGCCTGAGGAGGATGAGACCATTGTGCCTTTTGACCGATCCTTTCAGGGTAAGCTCGAGCCCGCCATTGTTGGCGGCCGCGGCTACGTCACCATCAAGGATGCGTGGGAGACCTTTTCCCGCGCCTCTTGGATTCGACTGGTCAAGCTTTACGTCAAGATCTTTGTTGCCACCATGGCCGTTTACTTGGGCTTCGCTCTGATCATCATCCCCGAGGTACTTATTATTGCCAGCGGCACCAAGAAGGCCCAATAAATGGGTGCTTGGTCGAGAGATTCATGAGAGCGTGGCAATGACACCTTGGATGGAATCTGTTCCTAGGTCATTGTTTTAGCGTCGGATTTAGAAACTGGAACAATTTTGCCTCTAGCTTGCATTTATTTGTGAAATTATAAATCATCTCAGGAAGGAATCGGATTGGTCTTTTTCTCGAAACAGGAGCATTCGGCTCAACTCTCATCATCAACCATGATATCCACAAAGTAAAAAAAAAAAAAAAAAAAATCAATGTCAAAATGTTTTCTATATTCCAACCATTGTCTTTCGTTTGCAGAAACAAAAGTGACGCATGTTTGAATTCACCAGAATGATTACAAATCGCCCAATGACGTTGCATGTTTTACATCGTCTTTGGCCAACTTTAATGTGGTCGGCGTCTATCTTGTCTATTACATTATGTTCGATGCGTGGTTCTCGTAAATACATTAGATAGGCCAAGAATCTTGATTCCCGACCAGATTCTACATAGCCCACGTCTTGGATCTCTGAGGTCCTTTACCTTTGGGATCAGCTATACTGGCTCGTCTCCCCCTTTCGGCCTTTTGCTCTTCCATCCTTCTAGTACGGACGCGCTGCAAGCTCATGGGCAATTCTTCGACAATATCGTCCTCGGAGTCAGATTCCACAGCCGTCTCGGCGCCCACGCGGCCGCCAAAGGAGAAGCGCTTCTTGAGCGTCGTCGTGCCCTGCGAGTCGCTGCGGCCCGCCGACGTCGAGGGACGACCTCGTCGCCGATTGCGAATGCTGGCGTCGGCGTTACTCTTGATCTTTTCAATCGTCAATTCCGTCTCGGCGGCCGTGGCAGACGCGAATTCTCGCGCCTTGATCTTGGCAATGTATTCGTGGAACTTGGGCCGTTCGAGCATACCCGTCCGAAACGCGTTGACGCCGACAAGCAGCTTGGCCAGGTCAACCAGCTCTTCCAGGTATTCAATAATTTCCATGAGTCCGGCTGAGCCGGCGTTCCACGAGAGGAACTTTTGCTTCGTGACCGACTTCAAGACATGTGCCTCGGGCGCCATGGAAGATCGGCGCGAGTGCCTTCCGGGATGGATACTAGCAGGACGACTCGGAGGGGCCGAACGGTTGCGCTCCAACATGAGCTCGCGCACTCTGGTGACATAGCGAAGATGCGCCACGCGGCTGGACGGCAGGAATTGAGGCAGAGGTAGCCTCGTGGTCAATGCCTCGTGCACGGCAAAGAGTGTCAGGGTAATGCTTGCCGCCATGTTGCGACGATAAGGGAGGACGAATTCGTTCAACTCCTCAAGCACCGCGCTGCCATATGCTTCCCTGAGATGTAAGACGTGGTCCATGCGATCCACAATTTGGTGAAGAACATAGATGATCTCGTTATATATCATTGCCTGCCCTCGGAAACTGCCCTTTAGACGCGGCTCCGTGAGGGTAAATGGAAGAAAAGTCTGGGCCGCGGCAAGGGCAGATTCTGCCTTGCCTTTTGAGCGTTTAAATCTGTTTTTCAAAGCCTCTGATCTGAGATCGACGGCGCAAGGGGTCTCGATACCAACTGCGACAGATGATTCCATGTTGGAAATCTGCTTGATTGCCGAGGCAAGGGATTCAACAAGTCGGTCACGCGCCCGCACAGGGAAAAGGACCATTTCGACAATGAGGGCAGTGGTACCCCCGACCAGGAAACATGTCATTCGTTTGACAAAAATCTCCCAAGGATATGTATCGGGTGTAACAATGGTCGCTAAAATTCTCACGAGTCAACAAGCCTCCTCGAACCTGTTCCGAGATCAAAACTTACCAAGACCAACCACGGACATACTCACGATTGAAATGATGCCTGTCTTGACATAGGGTGTTCCAAGTTGCGTGTAAGATGCTGGTATAGAAGCAATGACTAGCACAATCGCAGTAACGATGCGATTGCCCTGCCCAATCTCATAAGACAAGAAGCCGGCCACACATCCATATATGACACCGACGACTCTGAGGAGAAACCCATTTATAGAAGTTCCGACAGAGACTTCAAAGACGAGAATCAGCTGCAATGATGCCCATGAGGCTCTGATTGAGCTGTACCAAGCATGCGTTGATGGGACAAAGCCCGGCCACGTCACCAACCAGCCAGCCACACTCATCTTTAGAGCAAAAGCGAGATCATCTGAGCTTGCAACAAACTCAATGGCATCGGCCAATAGACCTCGGAGCCAGAGACCAGTGCTTGTCCAAGACTTGCTCGACTGTTTCGCACGAGGCACATTTTTTGGGACTGGCCTTTCCTGCTTTTCATCTACCCGGTTTGCTTCCTCATCGCCCAGGTCCCGGCACAGTCGACTGTTTGATGGCGATGGCGTCGGTGCCTCTTCGTCAAGATGTGCGTGCTCTTTGTGACTTGCTTGGCCAGCTCGTGCTTCCTTTCGAGCACTCTCTGGGACAGCATTGGCATCCTTTTCTCCACCAGTCTTGAGCCAACGCCTCCAACTTATTCGAGGAAAGTAAAGTCGGCGTCTATTGCGCCGACGCTGCCTCTTGTCCACGAGATCCCTCGATTGTTTGAGCATGTGATTTACCTGAGAAGCTGCTTGTCTCAAGGTGACCAAGAACGAGCTGATGAGGAATGTCTCTGTGCGCGGCATGACGTCGACCTATAAATGATTTAGCACAGTTCAGGGAAAGGGAGTCATTGCAATTCCCTTCATACCTTTGCCCCATTGTACGCTATAGCGGCCGCGTGCTCCAGCGCCTCGGCAGAGTCTGTGTCGAATAATTCCAGTGCTTCACTGAAAATACTTGTACGAAGATCAATCTCTTCCAAAGTAATTCCACGTGGTGCAGGTGCTCCAGAGGGGAGTTTTGCCACATCGTAGCAGTGAGCCAAGGAGCAGGTAATCAACTCTACTGCCTCGTGTATCTGATTCTGGAGGACCTTGGCAGGCTCGCGAACTTGTGACAAAATGTGGTCAAAGAGCTCAATATCTGCCGACTCTATCTCCCGAATAGGCTTTACAAGTTCCAGATTTCTGAGATGCTTGGACTTTTTGCGAACGTTTTTGGGCCGTCCAGTTGATGAGCTGCGAGAAGAAGAGCTATCGTCGTCATCTGAAGATGTGTCGTTGGAATCCGAGGCATCACTGGACGCATCTGACTCTGAATCGCTGTCCGTATCCGATTCCTGCGATGAAAGGGAGTCTTCCTCTTCACCAAGCATGGCATACTTGCTCTCACACGCGTTGATGATACTGATTGCATTCTGAACGAGCCGTGACATGGATGTCAAACTAATGGATTTCAGGGAGGCGGGGTCCAAAACTCCATAAGTTACCTCAAAGTTACATTCTGCCTGGGCCTTTTTGGATCCAGCAAACTTTGTCCTCAACTTTGGTTTCCTGTCGGTGAGTGACACGAGCTGCATGTGTAGAGACTGCCCAGTTCCCTTTGCAGGTTGTTCGCCATCAGGTTTGGCGGCGGCCTGATGCTCTGCCCTCGCCGTTGCAAACCAGTCCACAGCGTCGTCCAGGCATTTGACAGAATCGTGAAGCGTTTCAATGACGGCATTTCCCAGAAAGCCGCTCGATGATTCGGGGAATATGGTCAAGTTGACGACCAAGACAGCGGCCAGAGCGGATAAAATTGGATATGATATCTGTGAGACGAGTGCACTGGATACGGCTGTTGCCGTGGTGGTCAGAACCGTCAGACTGATTAAAAGATAGAAAAAGACGAATAAGAACAGCCTGGGCGTAGAGGAACGCAGCAAGCCATGAAGTATAACAGCCAGTGCAAAGAATATGGCACGGATGGCATAAGCGGCGCTGATATTAGTGTCGTAAATGAGACTGGAAAGATGGAGGCCCAGGGTCGACCAGCCCAGTCCGAATGCCGTCCCAAAGAATATCAAGAAGAGGGCCTCGGCCATCTGACCAAAACGTTGGCCTGGATGTCCGAATACTGTGACCTGTCCATATATGTCAATGACTAGAGCTAAACAGAGAAGCCAGGTGATATGTGGGGAAGGGAACTCGAATAACCTCTCAAACAAACAAAGGCATTTTATTCAGTCATTCAATGGGCCCCATCAATGCACTGAGGAAAGTCAAATTTGGCACATACCATAGGCCCAAGATAGGTAGAGCGACCATAGACCTGGATAACGGCAGGGACCAGGCCCAGCGAAATCATAATGGCTGTGCATACCGTGTTCTTCAAGATGCGCTGCCATAGCTGACCCTTCTGGAGGTTGGCCGAAATGGTTGTCCGCCACCGGCTACATCTCTTGCGCAGGCTCCTCAAGTGATTTTTCACCACCATTCTTGCCTTGCTTGATCTAACGTCAACCTTGGAGTCAATCTAGGCATTACACAAATCATGGCCAGAGACGAAACAACTAGTGTCGGAATTTCAGTCCCGTACATCGGCAGCGATGAGTCAATTGCAAAACATGAATGTCGAGAAAAGATATCGCGCTGTGCTGGGAAATGATAGAGATGAATGTAATTCAAAGAATATTGGAGGTCCCGAACTGAAGATTGTCTTGGATGAATGAGTTGGAAGTTCAAGAAACAGCTTGAAGCGGACGTCGGCCGGGATTTTTTTTTTCTTCTCAATTTTCTATTTTGATAAGAGGCCGTTCCATTGGGCGCGCGCTGAAGCTGCAGCGTACCTGGGGCTTGCTGTTATTGCGGTTCGTCTACGAATCATGATCCCTGGCGGCAGCCCAAAAGAGCCGTTTTCTTCGTCATGCCGTTGGTAGTTGCGCTGCGAGTTCTCCATTCAGTAGGCCCAAATAGTTCCCAAATGGTAACTTGTCAGCCAAAAGGACAATTAGATCAGCCTGCGCCCAACTAGGTTGACCTGGTCAATGGTCTCCATTTATTACCTGATGCCCCATCGATGCCCAGGTGAATCTTACCTTGTCCAGTTGTCAATTGACTTATTGATACATCCGACACATCTGACAATTGTGATTCAGGGGCTAACACTATTTGCTAACAATGAATTATTTTGCAGTCGCTTCGTGATGCTCTGAGAAAAGACCACAAGCTGTGTATCTGCACAGATAGACTGACTCGGGCAATCCGTAAGCATTAAGCAGCTGTCATAATGCCTAGGCGCAGGCAATTTACGCCTGCCTTGCCCCAGTCGGCTCCTCGCTCAGTGAACCACTGCCCCGCGCCAATGACGCAGCTGGAGGCTGCCAAGTACAGGTGGGCCGAGCAAGCTGTCAATGGGTTTGGGGGTACGTAGTGCTGCAACGACAGGTGCTCAAGCGTAGCGCGGGGCATCCTCCGTTCTACGACTTGACGACGAATTATCGCGAGAACTGCTCGACCTGTGCTGCGCCGACATCGATTCAGATTCGGAATACCTACAAGATGCCTCCCTCTGCGACTCTCTCAGTGAGTATGATTCAGTGTCCACAACCTGTCTCTGCCCTTGTCCCGGCTGACATTGTGCGACATCCTATAGACCAAGATCAAGGTGCAGCTGAAGCTCTCCATCGCACGTCTGCGAATGGTTCAGCAACGCGATGAAGCCCTCTCAAAGACCTCACGGCGGGCCATGGCACAGTTACTAGAGGTTGGGAAGATAGATTCGGCCAAGATTCGCGTGGAGAACATTATCCGGTCCGATATTACCATTGAGCTATACGAAATCCTCGAGCTATATTGCGAGCTCCTGCTTGCGCGCGCCGGATTGCTGGACTCGCCCACCTGCGACCCGGGCTTGGAAGAGGCTGTCAAGAGTATTATATATGCTGCGCCCAAGACCGAGATCAAGGAGCTGCACCAAGTTCGGGCGCTCCTTGCCGAGAAGTTTGGCAAAGAGTTTGCTTTGGCCGCCATTGACAACACTGACGGCAAAGTGTCCGAAAAGGTTGTGAAGAAACTGAGTGTGACGCCTCCGAGAGAAGAACTTGTACAGGGCTACCTAGAGGAAATCGCCAGGGCATATGGTGTCGACTGGCCCAAGAAGCCCAGGGACCTCGGAGAACCACCAGCATTTATAGATGACGACGATGACGACGATACTCCTAGTGGTGGACAGGCGCAGAAAATTATCGAGCCAGAACTCCCTGCCGACAGCAGAGAGGCCCAAGAACGAGAGGATCTCAGCAGGGCAACGCCTCCACGGAACCTTGATAACCCTCTCCATATCACACCGTCGAGTCCATCGTCTGAGAACCCTAGACCCAAGGTCACTCTTAATCATATGGAGCTGAAACCCAGCAAAAAGATGCAAGATGCTGGACTTGCCAAGAAGAGGGGAGACAAGAGCGATGGACCTGGTGGCAGTGTCCCAGACGTTAGTGAGCTGGCGGCAAGATTTGCAGCTCTCAAACGGTGAGACCAGAAGCATTCACACTAGCAGTTGCACATTATCAAGCGAAACAGTATTTAATTGATATTATTCGAGCATTGGTTGACTTGAGCTACAGTAATCCCGCGTTAAGCAACTCCTGATTGATATACAGTAACAACAAACAGGCCCTTTATCCTTTCCTGGTGCTTAATCGCTAATGAGACGGCGTGCTTCGTTTTTCTTACCGTGCTAGGTAACAACCTGAAGTATGCTGATGGAATTTGTGCCCAAGCCTGAGCTGGTAGATGTTGAAGTGGCATAATGATTTTGCTTATGAAAAGGGCACTACTCTGCTCATGAAGAACAGAGAACTCAAGCCAGACAGTTCTGTTACAAACTATACTATTGAAAGCAGAGGACCTCGACTTGACCGAACACTAGACAACTATAATGAATATTTGTCCACCTATCTAGGTAGCTAGGGAATACCCCATTGTGGGTACTCTACGTAAATGCTGATTATTCCAATGTCCTGCTATCTCAAGGCCAGGTGGGCAACCAACACACCAGCCAGTCAAAAGATAGTTCTGGTCCTCCAGTTTTGCATGAATGAAAAGAGCAAACGAATGTCATACGAAGCTTCTAAAAGTCTTTGTTTCAAATATTACTTCCACAACCTCAAAACTTGAAAACCTTACCTAAGAGCTGCAACGGGCACAGTAAAGGGGACGCTTCTGCATGTCCAAGAATCGTGAGTTGCCGTTTGCTCTTTATCTGGGGACTTGCTGCTTGATCCACATGGATCTCTTGTTATCCTCAAACGTCGACGACGAAGAAGGCACGTCTTTGACCAACACAGGAACTTGCTACTGCAGGCAATTGCCCGTTTGTCCACCCTACCACTCGTTCATCCTTCTCCACTGCCCATAGCAGCTGAGCAAACGGTGCGGTCAACACGCTTCTTTGATTTATTGAAATCGCGTCCATTCCAATCCCACCTTCTGGTTCTACAAATTGACAACGTTAGCAATCGTCTCATCTCTCTGTTCAACCACCGTGTAGTGTTGGTTTGTCCTATTGGAAGTTGCCATTATGGACTTGAGCCATAACCTCGAGATCCTTTCCATCGAGAGGTTGGAAAATGTCTCCCTTGAAGACCTTGGAGCTCGAGTTGACCGAAACATTTATTCTACCATCTCCAAGCAACAGGCTCTCGACACATATTTGGGGTGGCTTCGAGAGCAGCTCTCCAGGGACATGTTTGTCCAAGAGGTGGACATCATCAAGGACTGGACCACATCCCTACTCAATCGAAGCTTCAACAAAGAGGACATTTTAACATCGTTCAAGCAGTGGCAAAATCAAGAAGCATTGGTTGACCGGTCAACCCTTCGCAGGTTTTTGATGGTTGAGCGGGAGCTGTCTGATTTTCTAGAAAACCCGACTCGTGGCAACAGCACCAAAAGGGAGCAGTCGCCTCCTACGGAAAAGGAAAATATTGAGCCTCGCTCTCGAACGGCAAAACGACAGACTGGGGCAAACGAAACTCCTGTGGGAGAACGTCGACCTTTGGGGACCTCTTCCACCCATCGCGAGGTTTCAAAGAAACAATCCAGCGGCCCGGTTCATTTAACAATGCGCCCAAGTCACAAGAATCATACATTACCGAGTATCAGCTCCACGCCTAGAACAGCTGGTCATTCCTCTGTGGCGGACAAGGAGGGAGGCCACTCTGACAGGAATAACCTCGACTCGTCTACAGAAAAGACGCCTCGGGGTCGTCATTCGGATGATGATATGCCAGTTTGGGCGAGTTACCCCAAGGACTACAAGACAGCAGTGAAGAATGGCTCCTTGGATAATACCCACCCTCACAAGGGTTACGTCTGCAATCGTTGTGGCCAAGGGGGTAAGAGACATTGCCCTTAGCAGAGTACACCATGAAAGCGAACTGACTTTGTTGAAAGGTCATTGGGTTCATCTCTGTCCGACGAATTTGGACCCCTCTTATGACTCTGCTCCAGCCCCGGATTATGCATGCAAATTGTGCGGAGAGAAGGGTCTACATTTTTGGTGCCTATGCCCGTCGAACAAAGACAAATCGTCAATAACTCAACAGCGAAAGAGAGCTGGTATCCCTGCCTCGATCGAACTCGTGCGAGAGAAAAGACGATCACCTGAAGTTCTTAGAATTTCTGCTCGTGCCAGAGACACGTCTCGTTCTCGGCGTAGGGAAACAGAGGGCCATGATCAGCGCTATCGAGCTGATCAACGCTCATACTCTCCTCGCCGCCGGGATGACAGAAGTTTGGCAGGGGAGCGTATTCGGCGTTCTCCAGGTCAGGAACGCTCGAGACTTTCACCTCGGCGTGAGCGCGCTGTGCATTCGCCGTACCGTGAGCGTTCCTGGCGTTCAAGGAGCCGGGAACGCGATGAGGACGTGGACAGAAAATCTCGGACTCGGCAACATGACGGAAGAGTCACGACTAACCACTCTAGAACAAAGGACTCATCAACACGCAGTCGGTCGAGACAGAGCCAGTCTAGCCGTAGAAGATCAGAAAGACGCCGTCATCACGTTGACACTTACCCACGTGATCATGGCCGACTTCGTTATGAGAGTGATGATGGTAATGACACCTACGCTGACTCCCGGGAGAAGCCTGGTCACAGGGTTGCAAGCAACACGCCTAGAACGCCCTCTCCTAGCATTCGGCTGGGATCGGTGACTCCATGTCCCGGCGAAGCCATGGTTGACGCCGACACTCCCTCTACACAAGACGCTCAAACATCTGAAGCTGTCGCTGAAGCCAATCTTTTCCTTTGCAGTCTCGACAATCAAATTCTAGAGGACCATGTTGAGAGAGCCTGCAAGCAAGAGATGACTTCAATCATGGAAGTGGTCTGCGGAGACGAAGACCCTTTCCTTTACCAAGACAACCACGGTGTCCTCTGTAAAAGAGTCACCAACCCCCCTTATGATGATCAAGTTGTGCAACTCTTTGCACTCCGATCCAACCCCATCATTCGGCCCCAAACCAAGCGAGCCCCAGCTTTGAATTACTGGGACAACAATGTCCAGTCCAAATTTGAGGATAGTGAGTCATGCCATTGCTTCCAGACGTCCTTCTGGCACTAACCTGTCGAAGTGGCTCCCGAGGATCATTATGTCTTCCACTGACAGGGCAGAGCTGAGGCAAAAGTGCATCTGATTTCAAGAGGTCTGCGTATCACGGAGTTCCGGAAAGGCCTTGATATTATTACCATGGAGTTGTGAGGACGCAAGGGTCCGCGCGGACGTCTCTGCTGCTGTTTGTTTTGTTTGCTGCCAAGCTATGAGGTACCTTATTTTGCGAGACTATGAGCATAGATAGTAACTAAACCACTTGCCATATACACTATTGTTCCCGTCTCTTGATAACAGGATGCTGCTTGGACCTGTTGTTATCATTGTAAAAATGTGAATCTTTGATAGACTATGCAATCAAGATATTATACTGCCTTGGACATGTTCAAGGGCCTCTTCCCAGGCCCATCTTGTCAAGAGACATAACTCCCAAACGCCATGCAAATGCTTTTCAAATGAAATATGGACCTCCTCTTTGCAATGTCCCTACTCCAGCTTGTCGAGATGTTCTAGTCTAGTCAAGACGACCTGTTTGCTGGTTTCTTCAATCTCACCGGCCAGGAAGACTTCGTCGAGGATGGCGTAGACCTTGTAAAAGTTGAAGACGAGATCGAGCTCGCAGACGTTGCCGAAAAATGAGTCTAGGACCTCGACAAAGAAGTGAATGGCCTCGAGGTAGGCCAGCTCATTGTCGTTGGTGTCGACGCAGGCGCAAAAGAAGAGGCCTGCGTACCGCCTGTAGACAATCTTGTTGTTCCGAAACTCGACAAAGTTGGACTGGTATTTCTGGTCGCGCGGCGCCACGAGACGGTGGACCTGGTTGTTTGCGAAGGCCATGTTTAGCGATTTCACTCTCTACATTGCGCAAAAGGGTTTCCGGCTCTCCTGTCGCTTACCTCGCCCTTGAGCTTGATCTTTTCGTCGTCGCTGTACGGCACGTACCATTTCGCCAGGCGGGTCTTGCCCCTGTTTGTAAAACACACAACGGTCAGTGTCAATTCATATTGGATCTCGGAAGCTCGGGACGGGAAAGTCTTTGAGCGCATATACGGGAAGCGATGTGCGCGCGTCCGTCGAGGAATGAACAAAAGGGGTGGGATGAAAGACGTACTGTCGGTTCTGTATCAATATAAAAGACAACATTGTTCCTTTCTCGTATTTTTGGCAAAGTCTCGTTGCGAATGCTCCGGGCTAGGGAGGAGAGTGAGTTGGTCCGGAGGGTTTAAGGAGGCAGATGAATGTCGAAAGGCGATAAGGTAATCAACCAAACGACACCCTCAATTTGGAGGCTCTGCGAAGTGGAAGCAGCAGCTCCCTGCAAGTCAGCTAGCCCCCACTGAGGCGGGGAGATTCAGTACAGTGGATCCAGGTACCAAGGGCCCCTGGTTCGGGTACCAATAGGTGATTGATTGGAGGAGAGGGAGCACTAATGCACGGGATTAGAGCTTCTAGGATAGTATTCTCTTCTCTTCTTTCTTTTTCAATGTTGCACCTTGATTACTGAATTTATTTATTTTTCTTTCTGTCCATGGCTTCATCAGTACCTGCTATCTATAAATGTAAGTTGACAAGTATTCTCAATACTGAGCTTACAAGTAATAGAACCCGAATCCATCATCAGCGGTTGCAGAAAATTGTGAATCGCATCATGACAGATTGTTTGTACAAAGAGTAGGACGTTATATACAATGGAGAAATGCGACTGGATTCAAATCTCAAACTTCTGACCAACAAGGTCCTCGCTCAGCTTCCAGCACTGTTCAGCCAGTTCCGCGTCCGTGGCCCACTCCTTGATCAGTCGAGTGTCGGTCGTCAGATTGTTGTCCTCCAGGTATACGCCTTCTTCCTTGACCAAGTCGGGATCGAGAGCGGCCCGGAGCGTGGTGGCACATCCCTGAGCCAGTGTCTTCCAACCGCCAGTGGCGCGATGGGTGGCCAAGGACATGCCTAGCACTCGCCAACAGCCGTCTTCCATGATGGCGGCCTCCTCGGCCCCGTAGACTTTCATATACTCTTGTAGGTTCGTGGAGATACTGCCTGGATGGATGGCGTAGGCATGGATACCGCGTGGGGTCAGGCGCCGGTTGAGGGCCACGGAAAAGAGAATATTGGCCGTCTTGACCGAGCCATAAGCCGCAAAGCCATTGTACGACCCTGGAATTGTATAGTTTGGATCAAAGAAGCGAAAGGGATTGTAACGGTGTCCGGAGCTACTAACGTTGACGATGCGCGCACCAGCACCGGCCGCCAGGATCTTGGGCATGATGCTGTTGGTCAGGACAAAGTGACCTAGGTGACCCGCGGCCAGTTGAAGCTCGAAGCCGTCCTCGGTCTGTTGCCAAGGGGGACCCATTACCGCGGCATTGTTGATGACAACGTTGACATGGCTAATCTCTTCATCATCAAGGATTTTCTGCGCCGCTTCTCTTGTGCTACGGAGAGAGGACAAATCGATTTCGACGAATTTGACCTTGATGTCTGGGTTGATCTCCTTGATGGAATCAATGATAGGTTGTATCTTGGACAAGGAACGACCGAGCAGAATAATCATAGCTGGGCCGCCATAGGCCAATGTCACTACAGTCTCGGCGCCGATTCCTCCTTTACTGGGCCCTGTCAAGAGAACTATACAAATTAGCTTTGGATTGACTTGGGAAATACTATCATTATTCTCACAGATCTTGCCCTTGACCTCTTGAGCAAAGTCATGAACAAGGGTCAAGCCCTCGGTGGTTTTGTCGTACTTTGCCATTCTATTCTGGTGTGATTTTCTGTCGGTATATTTTTGTCAAGTCTGGGACATGAGGTGAAATCGGAAAACGGGCGTTCAAGTCATCTCTATTTATACCTTTCTCACCCATAGCTCGTCGAGCATCTCCGACAAGTACGCCAGACCATAGTCCGCTACCACAAGGGGCCAGCCTCATCAAGGGATCATCGTCTCGTCGTTCCCACCAAAGATCATCATTAGGCGTGATTTACACCTCATGCACATTAATTACATTGTCGGAGATTCGGATGGTGATAAATGTGCCCACGAGTGGAATCCATGACAAGTCGCCGGTCTTAATGTCTTTATGGTCGACTAAAATCCGGGACATGCATTGGTGCGACTAGCAAGGCCACCCCATGTGGATGCCCAGGCAATATGGTGTCTATCTAGCTCGTGTGGAAAACGTCAGCAGTTTTGCCTTGTCACAAATCCCGACCATCATTGTTGGCTGATGGCATCAGCATGCTCTTTTATCGTTATCGGGATTTGTAAGGGAATTGTTACGAGAAATATTCGGGATGTAGTGAGCATTAAGAGTACTCGATTATAGTTGGAGTAGAGTGCAACGTGGCGACCCTTGATCATCATAGGTATTCACTAGCAAATATGAGAGGAAGTATAAAATTTCCTTTCCCAGAATTTAAATAATCTACGGAGCACCAGAGAGCAAACTGTTGAAAAACCGCGATTTAAGCCTTATACGCTTACTCCTCCGTGGCTATAATAAAC